CCTTGACTCAAGGTCACTTCTTCCTGTTCGCAGCTCCAACGGAAGACCTATTCGTTGCTTTGCAACGAGCTCTGCTCTAGTTTGTACATATTTTTATGACGCAATTTGTATATTGCAGGACATATCCATTTTCCATTATTCCATATATTCCATTAGTCCATTTTCCATTATCCATTTATCATCAACTAGACATGTCACCATAATAAAATGTAAAATTTAAAAAGCTACAAGTGTGTTTTCCATCATTGCCGGGAATACCCGCTACATATTTAACTAAAGATGTCAGTTGGAATTGTATTTATTTCAGTCGAGGATGATTTCATCACTTTTGAACTAAATGAAGTAGATCTAGATCTAATATAGAATAAATAACTTAAAGTCATTTTCAATTTTCATGATCTTTCTGTATGCAGTTTGGACAATGAACATGATGCAATAGTCTTTGTTTATTTGAATGACTTTAGTTGGACGTTCACTGAGTAATCCCTATACATTTTATGCGTCACCACTGTGCTACAGAAAGTTTTATTTAAATTAAATTCTTTCTCAGATTGTGGAAACTTAGATAAAATTCAAATGAATTGTACATTATCATCAAATTCTTAATTAAAACCTATGATAAAGTATATCTTTAACAGAAAGTAAATGGACACTTTTAAAATTCTAAAACTAAGCATAATAGTGATGTAAAGCATAGTGAAGTTTGGTTTCAGGCACCATTTTTGCATCCACGGTTACATCAGGAGATCATCAGATATGTCACACGGCTTTTTTGACGTGGGTTTCCAAAAATCCGTGTCTCCTAGTCAATATACACCCCTACTAATGTTATTGTGATTTAAATTCAAGACACGTGGTGTAGCTTGACCCATTCAAAGATTATAGGGTAGAACCGGTTTTATAAATAGAATTGGTATAGTTAACAGGAAATTGCTATAGTCTGTTGTCTTATGTAAAATGTGTTTCCAGACCTTTCTGAAAGATTTTCATGATTTTAAATAGAAAAGGATGGGAGGTAAAAATCACAGTTTACTTAATCTTCGATTTTATGATAGGCCCGATACGCTGGTAGAAAAAGTGTCTAATATTATCTTCTACAATGACTAGCCTTTGTTTACCTTATATGGCTATTCTAATAATGCGCGCAGAGGATCTCACCGCGAACAATTGACCAATCGTTGAATGAATAGCAACGTTTACTGGACAGCTACATGTACAATTGAAGTGGTAAAATTTTTCGTTTGTTTGTTTGTATGTTGTTTAACGTCCCTCTCGAGAATTTTTCACTCATATGGAGACGCCACCACTTGCCGGTGGAGAGCTGCAAATTTTGTCCTATACTCGGCACTTACGGCCATTGAGCAGTGAGGGATCTTTTTCGTGCCAGCACCTACTGCGACACGGGACCTCGGTTTATACGGTCTCATCCGAAGGACCGGTCTCCACGTCCCCAGTGGGATTCGAACCCGCGACGAGGATCAACTCCTTACTTCGCGTCTCTAAAGCAGACACTCTAACCACTGCGCCACGCGGGCGACTAAATTTTTCGTTTTAGTGACTTAGCAATAACCCCCGTATGAGTGACTTGTGTAACAAAGTAAATAAGAAAATACCTTGAATGTTCTGAAAAAGATGTTTTGCTCATTCAAAACTTGGCAAAAATAATCAAGAGCAAAATCCAAACTGATTGCTGTGATTATGGATATTGCAAATCACAGGCTTTGTAAACCCCCACGTTTTACGGAAGAAAAAACAGCTAAAACAGTCCGGGGTTTTTTTTCCCTTAAACTTCAATATGCCAACAAAGGAATTGACGCGGTTAATACATGTATAAGTAATATTATTAATCACAAAAGGGTCCAGTCTTGTATTCCACCATATTTCAAGTTAAAGACTACACCTTGTATTTCCTACAAATATACATCGACTATTGTTTCTGAACTTTTTAACTACAAGAAAACTTTACAGGGCCTGGATATCTAATATCTGAAACATAATCCTCCATCGTGTTCATGTTCTTCTTCACTCTATAACTATAGTCCTGCTGGACACGTTATTACTGGTGACGTAAATATAGTTAATAATGAGGACCTTAGATCACAAATTTTAAAAGGTCCTAAATATAGGGAACCCCGATCCTTCAACTGGCGTCGGAATTTCATATATTTTATGGATTCTGTAGAGGATTACGCCAGGCGATGGGCCAGACATGAAAAAGAAGACCTTGACAATTTATCGGAATTAAATGTATGACATGTAAGATTGAGGGGCAATATGAGAACCATCTATCCTTCTGTATTCAGTAATCCAGAAGTGAAAAAAGAATTAGATAGATTACATGATCAGTGCGTACTGGTCCCTGCTGACAAAGCAGGTAACAACATTGTCTTTGTTTTTAAGGCTCATTATATTAATGTATTTTAGAGGAACTTGGATTTAATTCTGCAAGTGGTAATCCAACTTATACTCATAGTTCCCTTTCTAAGGAGGAAATTCTCCAAAATCATATCTCAGTTTTGAATATTTTTAATATTTCAAACAACCGAAATGAATTTGAATTACCATATCTATATTGGATTCCGAAACTTCATAAAAATGCTTACAAAGATACATAGCGGGTTCCAGAAAATGTTCAACCAAGCCTCTTTCTTTACTCCTCACTAAGATATTAACAGTAGTGAAGGAGAAACTTCAAGAGTACTGTGCAACAATATATTAGAGAAGTGGTGTAAATCAGATGTGTATACTACAAAATTTTAAGGAACTTTTGGAAAATTTGAAATCACAAGATTTTACAAAAATCAACAGCTTAAAAACTTACTTTTCAACTTTATACACAACCATTCCCCAGATAAGTTAAAGTCCAGGCATTCTGATATCATTGACAACTGCTTTTTCAATAAAAATGGAACTCGTAAATTTACTTACCTTGTCATTGGTCATTTGCAAAATTATTTTGTTAAAAAACATTCTGATTGTAAACACAAGTATTCTGAAGTTGACATTAAAAAGATGCTTGAGTTTCTGATTGACAATATCTATGTGGTGTTTGGATACCAGGTCTTCCAACAATCTATTGGAATTTCCATGGGTACCAATTGCGCCCCGTTATTAGCAGACCTTTTTTGTATTCATATGAATCAGAATTTGTCCAAAATCGCGTACGCGAAAAGAAGAAAACACTTGCTGTGGCCTTCAACTCGACATTTAGATATATCGACGACGTGTTGTCAACTAACAATGGTTATTTCCATTCTTATGTCGATACGATATATCCCGGTGAGCTTGAGAAAAAAGTTACCACAGAGTCCGACACATCTGTTTCATATTTGGATATTTTACTTGAAAAAGACGTTAATGGTAATCTAACAACCAAGCTTTATGATAAACGTGATGACTTTAACGTTTCAATCGTCAACTTCCTTTACTTATGCAGTAATATACCCTCATCACCTGCATACAGGGTTTATATCTCTCAGTTGATTCGACACTCAAGAGCATGCTTTACGTATGTGCAATTTCTAAAACGAGGTAAATTATTGACAAACACGTTGATGAAACAAGAATATCAGCAGTCTCGTTTAAAGTCATCATTTCGTAAGTTCTATGGTCGAAGCAATGACCTTGTCAGCAAATACAATTTATCACTGAGCCAAATGCTGACGGACGTTTTTCATACTTATTGTTAGGCCATTATTTACACACAGAATTGTCGACGGATTTTTCCGTTATTTCCCAATCATGACAAGGAGCACGCGGCGGGTGTGACCGGTCGGCAGGGGATGCTCACTCCTCCATGGCACCTAATCCCACCTCTGATGTTTTGGAGGTCCGTGTTTGCTCTGCTCCCATTTTGTATTGTTTAATGGACTTTTGAGCTTGAATACTGTTCATTATCTCCATATATATCATGCATATCATTTGAGATAAATGACTAAAGAACTTATATTCATCTTTTTAATTTAAACAATGACAAAGCATAGAAATAAACTGCATGGTTTTGTGATAAAGAACCTGTTTCTAAAACACGTTTGTTAAAATCTCTATACCTACATATCCTTTCAATATGATGATTATCATTTAAATAACCATCTGATCCATGGACGTCCCTCTTATCCAGCCATCAGTAAATTATGTAATAATTATCCTATTTAGAGCAGGGTCAGGGAAGGAAGTTGCATGTAAAACCTCAAAAGACAAAAGTGATAGTGGAATTTTTAAATGTAAAGTAAAATGAACATAAATATAGGATCTCCCATGATTTGAGGTTGGATATGATTTTTATCCAATGAGTTGTAATTTTTTTATACCCAAGCCTCGGCAAGGGAATAAAAGAAACATACCAGTTCAATAAAAATCATATATCATCGGAGCTAGATTCATTTTATCCCCAGGTTTTAAACATCACTATCAATGTTTTACACTGTTTTTATATAGGAATCCAAATTATTTTACTTCATCATTTTCACGCAAAACCCATTGTGACATCACAGCACTGGGATATTAAAAAATATCCAATGAGTGATATCCACTGGATAAAGGGGTAAACATGGGATAAATATATGTATTATCTATGGTAAAAATATTGCTAATAGTATATTTTATTCACCAGAGATATTTTTCTTCTCTAAAACTTTTAATATAATTGAAGAAAGGGTTACACAACCAAATCATACCACTAAAGCCTGCCACTGTTTTGGTCAAATATTCCTTGGAATATCTATCATACAAAGGCTCAAGACATAATGTAGATGTTCAAAGTATCCTATCAAATTGGAGTTTAAACAAGAGAAGATAGAGTTTTTCTTTTCAATCCTCCCTTTAATTGTAACAAATCACCTTGTGATAAAAGGATAATAAAACAAATAGGTCAACCATTAAGCACTTACTGAATTGTGTTCTAAAAGCTTCAGTCAAAATGAAGTGAAATTCTGCAAAATCAGAGAATTGTAAACAGTTTAATGATTGTAAATAATAAATATCTCATACTGATATTGTCTACTACTCTAAACATCATTCATTAAGATTAATTACTGTTCCAGGGATATGTTTATGATTCTCATTGTTTGGAAGTGTTTTCTTTGGGTAGTAACCATCATCCAGTTCTGAGAAGGTAGATCTGATTATTCTTGAGGTTAAGTCTTTCAAAAATTCTCAAAACCAGAGTCTAGAAGTCTAATTCAGGAAAACAATATATGATGTATTATTTAGTTTGCACCCTTAAAATGAACACATCAGAGATGGAATATGTTTCCCTGATTTTCCTTCATGTCTTTCAAATAGACACTGCAAATATTGTGAGGAATTTCCTCATTCAGTCTCAGCATATCATCTTATATCGACAACCAGCTATGATGAGGGATTTCCCATCTATGGTATATCTCCTGACAGCCGCTACAGAGGTGGTGAGGGATTTCCCTGGTCTCTATAAATAGACTCACAATACATGGTTTGTGAGGACATTCCATTGACAGAGTATCCTTTCATATGGACACTCCAGACATAGTGAAAGATTTTCCAGGCACCCCACCATCAGGGAGCCGAGACATGACAACCTACAATTATACATCAACAATTACCTTATAATGTAAAAATTTCTGCAAAAACATTATTAATTACATATAATTTAATATAAATTTTAATTTTACTACATGTATATACTTGTAACTATTACCTTATAAAGAAAGCTAAATTAATATTTTAATAAAATCACTTTACACAATGTGCTTGAGGTATAAAAATAATGCAATAAAAAATGCCCCAAAGAGAAGTGTTATATTTCCTGCCTTTCTACCATGTACATGTACATGTATTTGCAATTCTTGCTTGGAACAGTATTTACTTTCCATTAAGTACACTACCTTTGGTTTCTGCAGTGAAGAAGACATATACCCCACACACATGCTATCTGTAGTGTGACCCCATAATAATTCCACTGTAAAATAAAATTCAAATAACATGGTGTGCATAAACAGTTTAAAACTAGAAATCTTTTAACATGTTGTAAATACCATGTATCAAGGGATAAATCATCAATGAAAATTGTTTTAGTGACACAGAAGGACATCTGTGATATACATGTGCTATCAATAAAATAATTTAATATTCAAATAAAATTATTTTTAGCATGTCTTGAATAGTACTGATTAATCGCCATGGATACCTATATTATCTTCATTCTGTCTGAGAGCCAGCACCCCAGCTAACTTATCCTCCTCTTCTTCCAAAAACTCTGACTCTGTCAGGAAAAGAAATGCAAATTGGCATTGAAATAAGTTAAGGCCCCTAAAAATTGATAAGGTATATTTATTGTGAATTTTACCAGTCCATTAACAAAACTGATTTACTTCAGCTACACAGTACACAGAAAATAACCCAAGAGGTTCCTTAAGAGACAATTCAGCCCAGAATTGTTTACCATCTGAAGAGCATATTCACTGACTGTAGATACTGACCTAAGAAGTCTTTTTAAAGGGAGCTGAGAAAATGTAGACTAGCATAGTCTCGGACTTAAGACGTTATTTTTAAAACAGTTCGACAGTACCAGACTAGCATAGTCACTGACCTAAGAAGTTATTTTTAAAGCAGTTGGACAGTCCCAGACTAGCATTATCTTCACATTGTATAGACAAGGCACTCTCTCTGGCCAGAAACGTCTTCATGATGTGTTCACCACTTCCTAATTGAAAATTACACCAGATTTACAACTGAAACATGAATAGATGATAAACTGAGGAAAACGGTTCACAATTAAATTCATATGATTTGAAATGTAATATGTTAAATTATGGTTGATTAATGCTTTTATGTGTCACATGAAATATATTTTATTTACATTCTGTTGAAATTCCATTTTCTGCAAAATAACATATATGCTTCTAAGTAAAAATGTTGTGGTTTCACAACTGCATTTCAATGACTTCATTTCTTTTTATCATATCTGAATTCTTAGATTTCACAATTCAAAGAATCTTTGGCCAAAAAATACATATGCAGGCCAAGTACTTACATCATCAAAAATATTAGAATACAATTCCTTTGCAAAGTTATAGGTCAAATTGTTCAATATTTTGGGTTATATGAGAATATTATTTTTGAACTTGACAATGTGTATGCACATTTGTACCATTAACCATTAGTTTCATGTATACATATACAATTTTTTTACATGCATATTTATTTCTAGTTGCAATATAAGACACCATCTTTATATGCTTAACTTAGGGACTATTTCAGAATTTCTTAATTAAATAATTAACTGTTCCTGGCACTTTTTCATGGTTTTTCAGGTCATCAGGTGACCTCTATCTAATCTTACTGTCGTCTTACCTGATGTACTGGTTCCCACCCCTGGTTTTCCTGGTCTCTGATTGTAGGCCCAACATCCAGCACCATATGTTGCTGCCTGACAGTTAAAGAGTAAATACATGTACTAAAAATTTTCACTGTCTGGAATCTAAATGCACACAACAAATTTTGTAATTAAATGTACAGTCAAATCTTGTTATGTTAAACTCAATAGGATTGATCAAAAACTTCAAGATATATGAGAATTTGATATTTCCAAAGTAAAATACAATACTTAAAGAATAAGTGGTAGGGACTTCCAAACTATTTTGACACATACATGGTATTCAAGATATCAGTGTTGAATATATCAAAGTTCAGCTGTAACTCTCAAATCATACAATCACTCAAATAACTCATTCATGAAGTAAGAGCACATTAAGCAGAGTCCATATATTCAATTTGAGCACTTAACAAAAAAATTTTAGAGTTAAAATGAGAGTTTTCACCTTTAAACTTAGGTATTTTAAGTGAAAGATTGATTGATAGCTTTTTAAATTACATATTTTTATACATTTCTCAATAGAGAAATTCTGTATATATGATTTTTTTTAATCTAATTAAAATTAGATGTTCCGAATCTGCTACCGCTTCTCAAATATCTAACAACATCCCATTCGGGGTCACATCAGAGCGACCTTTCAATTACCCAATGAAATCGCTGTCTTTGAAATCTTGGCTTATAGCTTGGGTGCGTTTCTTTCTTTTACTGCCAAACCTAAACGCCCGAGGGGTTTCGTAGTAAACAAAATATGCATGGTAAAGACCATGCTATATATGAATGTGACATGAGGGATATATAGACGTATAGTTTGTGCATTTTCATTTGCGTTATTCGGGTAAGAATGCCAGATTGGTGGACTATACGTTCAATTTATACCCAAATTACATTAATTCAACGTAAGTCAGTCTACTGAGCATCAATAATGTTAAGATGTAGCTGTAAAACTAATTTTAAAATCGTATACAGAAGCTTGAATTTGATGCGCCGAAATTTTTATGTTTATTCATAAAGGAAAGGTCTCTCTGATGTGACCCTGAATGGGATGTTGTTAGATGAATTAGAAGCGGTAGTGGATTCAGAGCTTCTAATTTTAATCAGCTTGTGATTTTTTTTAAATAAAAGTATGGGTATAAGAATAAATGAAATAAAAAATTAAACAGAATATTAAACTGAATTTCTGGAAAATGTCTGCCCTTGGTCTTTGTGCAGATGTGGACCTCCCAAGTTCTGTCCACTTTACCGTTACAAACTGAGGTTTGCATATTTTTCAATATTCAGTTAATAATCTGTAGGTAAATATTCTGTAATCAAAACTCATTAAAAGAATTTATCCCATATTTACAACCTTTATCCTGTGGATATTACTCATTGGACATTTTTTTAAAATATCCCACTGCTGTGAAATCAAAATGGATTTTGCGTGAGAGTGATGAAGTAAAAAAATTTGGATTCCTATATAAAAACAGTGTAAAACATGGATAGTGATGTATAAAACATGGAATAAAAAAGAATCTCCTATGATTTGTGGTTAGATATGATTTTTATCCAACTCGTGTGTTTTTATCCCCTCACCAAGACTCGGGAAAAAAACCACACAACTCGTTGGATAAAAATCATATGCAACTACAAATCATGGGAGATCCTATATTTATCTTTTTTAAATACAATTGTTATTTATTGGCAATATACATACGGGACCAAGTCTTCCAAGTTGTTTCAGAGAAATTCCACCACTGGACACCGCTGATGCTATGTTACCACTGGTATCCATGACGATAGCCCCCACGGTGTCCTGTATTTTCTCTTCTTCCTCCTGTACATCAAAACTTTCCTCTGTTTTGTCATTTCTCTAGACAAATACAAGAATAATAGTCATCTATCACCAAAAAATACATTGATTAATCAATTGTATGATGTTTTACGTGCCATTCAAGAAGCTTTCACACATATTGAGTTATCAACATATGTCTATAAAGGGCATCAAATTTAGGCCTATACTCAGCACTCAGGGACATGAGGTTTGACATAGTGAGCAAATAAGAATGAGACCAGACGAAAGCTAAGAATGCCCTACCACTAGACTACAGCAAATGATCAATGTCAAGTTTTCTCTCTGATTTTTTTCTTTACCTGTTGTGTTAGCTTCCTTTTCTTGTTGCTGTCTCTCTCATTTACAATGTCCAGTTTCCTTTTGTGATTCTGGTAAGTTTTCTGAGCTTCATCTTCAGTAATAATAAAACAATGAATATTTAATACCTGACCATTACTGGATATACCTGCTTTATAAAAGAGACTGGGACAGAGTGTCCAATACTCAATTATAAAATACTGTTACTTTATTGAAATGTTTCTTTCTATTAGTCAATCTTCATTACAAACCTCATTGCATTTATCGACTATTTTTCTTTGTTGGGCAGATATTTGTGTGATTCATATATATGTATATTAAGTGTGTATGTTTAGCACAATTTTACTATAAATACAAAAATAAGAGGAAAATAGGCTCATCTAGTAGTGCATGGTTAAGCTATGGTTACCTGTTATTAAGTGTCTGGTTTCTAAAGTTTTTATCTCATTTTCTTCAGCCCACTTTTCAGCTCCTTCACCTACAATAACACTAAACAAGAGAGTTTACTTTTAATACATGAGTACACACTACCCAGTCTGTACATGACAATAATTGATTTACTCCTCTATAATAACACTAAACAAGAGAGTTTACTTTTAATACATGAGTACACACTACCCAGTCTGTACATGACAATAATTGATTTACTTCTCTACAATAACTCTAAACAAGAGACTTTACTTTTAATACACGAGTACACACTACCCAGTCTGTACATGACAATAATTGATTTACTTCTCTACAATAACTCTAAACAAGAGAGTTTACTTTTAATACATGACTTCAGTACCCAGTCTGTACATGACAATAATTGATTTACTTCTCTACAATAACACTAAACAAGAGAGTTTACTTTTAATACATGACTTCAGTACCCAGTCTGTACATGACAATAATTGATTTACTTCTCTACAATAACACTAAACAAGAGAGTTTACTTTTAATACATCAGTACACTACCCAGTCTGTACATGACAATAATTGATTTACTTCTCTACAATAACACTAAACAAGAGAGTTTACTTTTAATACATCAATACACTACCCAGTCTGTACATGACAATAATTGATTTACTTCTCTACAATAACACTAAACAAGAGAGTTTACTTTTAATACATCAGTACACTACCCAGTCTGTACATGACAATAATTGATTTACTCCTCTACAATAACACTAAACAAGAGACTTTACTTTTAATACATGAGTACACTACCCAGTCTGTACATGACAATTATTGATTTACTTCTCTACAATAACACTAAACAAGAGAGTTTACTTTTAATACATGACTTCAGTACCCAGTCTGTACATGACAATAATTGATTTACTCCTCTACAATAACACTAAACAAGAGAGTTTACTTTTAATACATCAGTACACTACCCAGTCTGTACATGACAATAATTGATTTACTTCTCTACAATAACACTAAACAAGAGAGTTTATTTTTAATACATGAGTACACTACCCAGTCTGTACATGTAAATAATTGATTTACTTCTCTACAATAACACTAAACAAGAGAGTTTACTTTTAATACATCAGTACACTACCCAGTCTGTACAGGTAAATAATTGATTTACTTCTGTACAATAACACTAAACAAGAGAGTTTACTTTCAATACATCAGTACACTACCCAGTCTGTACAGGTAAATAATTGATTTACTTCTCTACAATAACACTAAACAAGAGAGTTTACTTTTAATACATGACTTCAGTACCCAGTCTGTACATTACAATAATTGATTTACTTCTCTACAATAACACTAAACAAAAGACTTTACTTTTAATACATGAGTACACTACCCAGTCTGTACATGACAATATTTGATTTACTCCTATACAATAACACTAAACAAGAGAGTTTACTTTTAATACATGAGTACACTACCCAGTCTGTACATGTAAATAATTTACTTCTCTACAATAACACTAAACAAGAGAGTTTATTTTTAATACATCAGTACACTACCCAGTCTGTACAGGTAAATAACTGATTTACTTCTCTACAATAACACTAAACAAGAGAGTTTACTTTTAATACATGAGTACACTACCCAGTCTGTACATGACAATAATTGATTTACTTCTCTACAATAACACTAAACAAGAGAGTTTACTTTCAATACATCAGTACACTACCCAGTCTGTACAGGTAAATAATTGATTTACTTCTCTACAATAACACTAAACAAGAAAGTTTACTTTTAATACATGACTTCAGTACTCAGTCTGTACAGGTAAATAATTGATTTACTTCTCTACAATAACACTAAACAAGAAAGTTTACTTTTAATACATGAGTACACACTACCCAGTCTGTACATGACAATAATTGATTTACTTCTCTACAATAACACTAAACAAGAGACTTTACTTTTAATACATGAGTACACTACCCAGTCTGTACATGACAATTATTGATTTACTTCTCTACAATAACACTAAACAAGAGAGTTTACTTTTAATACATGAGTACACTACCCAGTCTGTACATGTAAATAATTTACTTCTCTACAATAACACTAAACAAGAGAGTTTACTTTTAATACACGAGTACACTACCCAGTCTGTACATGACAATAATTGATTTACTCCTCTACAATAACACTAAACAAGAGAGTTTACTTTTAATACATGAGTACACTACCCAGTCTGTACATGACAATAATTGATTTACTTCTCTACAATAACACTAAACAAGAGAGTTTACTTTTAATACATGACTTCAGTACCCAGTCTGTACAGGTAAATAATTGATTTACTCCTCTACAATAACACTAAACAAGAGAGTTTACTTTTAATACATCAGTACACTACCCAGTCTGTACAGGTAAATAACTGATTTACTTCTCTACAATAACACTAAGCAAGAGAGTTTACTTTTAATACATGACTTCAGTACCCAGTCTGTACATGACAATAATTGATTTACTTCTCTACAATAACACTACACAAGAGATTTAACTTTTAATACATGAGTACACTACCCAGTCTGTACATGACAATAATTGATTTACTCCTCTACAATAACACTAAACAAGAGACTTTACTTTTAATACACGAGTACACTACCCAGTCTGTACATGACAATAATTGATTTACTTCTCTACAATAACACTAAACAAGAGAGTTTACTTTTAATACACGAGTACACTACCCAGTCTGTACATGACAATAATTGATTTACTCCTCTACAATAACACTAAACAAGAGACTTTACTTTTAATACACGAGTACACTACCCAGTCTGTACATGACAATAATTGATTTACTCCTCTACAATAACACTAAACAAGAGACTTTACTTTTAATACACGAGTACACTACCCAGTCTGTACATGACAATAATTGATTTACTTCTCTACAATAACACTAAACAAGAGAGTTTACTTTTAATACATGACTTCAGTACCCAGTCTGTACATGACAATAATTGATTTACTTTTCGAAAATAACACTAGACAAGAGAGTTTACTTTTAATACATGAGTACACTACCCAGTCTGTACATGACAATAATTGATTTACTTCTCTACAATAACACTAAACAAGAGAGTTTAATACTTTTGAAGTAAATTTGCTTCTTGTTGTCTTCTATTGATTATTTAAAGTATTGAAACTAAATAAGTTGATTAATTAAATAACGACATTATAAGCCATCATTCCTATTGGTTCTGTAGGTTTGGTTAACATGTAATTAATTGTTACCTGGGATGCAGTCTCCCCAGGGACAACTTGTCCCCTAACTGTCTGGATACCAGTGTGGCAGACACTTCTACTGGGTTCTTTACACCTACAGCACAAAAAGTCTTGCAAACATACAGCTTCTAAAATAATAAAAAAGAGTTTCTCTGAAAACTTTTTCCCTACATTTCCCTTTATCTAGTACATTGAGTAATGTCTTACCAGAAATGGCCCCAACTGCTCCAAATACCAACTTCTTTCCCTCCATAATAGAGGCATCACATTCCACAAAGCCATTGATGTTTAGATTGGATCCCATGCCTGCATTGGTCAGCACTGAATTCTTATAATATAGACGAAAAATTCTTGTAAATACTACAGATGAACTTCGGTATAATCTTGAACATCATTATCTTTGATACCATGGATATGTCCAAGTTATTTGGAAGTTCAAACCACTTATTCTTTAAGTATTATAACCCTGGATATCTCTAATTTTCAGATATCTCATTTTTTTCTCAGTCCCATGGAGTTTGGGATAACAAGGTTTGATTGTATGTTTTAAAATAGGCAATAGCAACAGAGCTAAAGTTAGCACTGGAAAGAATGGGCTTATTGCTTTGAGAATTAAAAAAAGATGGCAATAAGTATATATTATACAAGTATTTGCTAGGTTTGCTCTTGGGGGCAAAGCAATTGAAACATTTCCAAGAATAAACTCAATCAAGGAAACAGTGATCAAATATGCCCTCACCCATTCCTTTTAAGAAGAAGCTAATTAATTAAAATGTCATCATTTTTTTTTAATTAATAAATATTTTGTTCCTTCTGGAATTTTCTAATTCTTAAGTAACAACTTTTTTTTAATTTGTATAAATATCTTTACTTTTAACCAATTCTGAAAATTAAGCATTGATGTTGAAAATTTCTGGAGAAAAAAGTTCCCACCTACCTACTGACCTTTTTTTTATCATGAGTTGGGAGAAGGCAAACAAACATTATTTTAAAGATGACCTATAATAAAAATATTTTTCCACCTTGAAATATGTACTGAGCATGAAGCAGACCAGGAGTTTATGGCTAAAGCTAAAATGTTCCCAAACAACCTCTTTATGAACATTCCGATGAGAAAATTCAAAAGCACATTAACATTGCAAAAACAAAGTTCCTGTATTACATAGTTGTGTCACCTGCAGAGCAGAGCAGCACTAAGGGATCACTTTACCCGGTGTCTGTTTGTCCATTCATCCACCTTATATCTCGAGAACTGTAAGAGGTATGGATTTGATATTTTGCACATCTATAGCTTGGCACTATGGCTTTTGTATTTTACCATGGTTACCGACCTAGTTATCATTGAACTTGACCTTTGACCGAATTTTTGAAATAGTTGACAGTGCCAATATACAACTTTTTTTTGACATTTAAGAGGTAAGTTTATGCTATTTAGCATGTGCACTGTTTGTCAAAAAACATTTTGAAAAATATCAGCATAACAGTCCACTTGACCTTGACCTTTAGCCTACTTTGCAAAATATACTGCAGAGGGTAAAATTTAACTTATGTCTTTTGAATTTAGAGAGGCAGGGATTTGATAATTAGCATTTATACACGTTTATGAGCTCATGACAATGTACTTTCAGGAATTTAAGTACTATGAAAATAGTATTTCAGTATGGATGGCGTAGACTGACAATTGCGGTAAAGACAGCCTAAAGTCTCTTTTGAAGAAAGGTTTGAAATCACGTATTAATTAATTAATTGATAAATAATTATTTATATTTATTAACATCCATTTTAGCTTTGAGGGGTTTGGGATTTGTATTTCTATTTGATTGTCATATTCTATCATAGTCTTACTATCCTTGGGTTTTTTATCATGAACTAAATGCTAGTAGCCAATAAATAGCTGACTACTCTTAGATTTAGTTACATCTTTAATGAAGCTAATAGCAGGCAGCACGTGGGTTCCTTGGAACACTCTAGTTTTATTTATTTTGTCCATACCTCTAAACATTTAACAGCCTCTGTCACACACTCTATAGTTTTATTATTTTGTCCATACCTCTAAGCATTTAACAGCCTCTGTCACACACTCTACAGTTTTATTATTTTGTCCATACCTCTAAACATTTAACAGCCTCTGTCACACACTCTACAGTTTTACTTATTTTGTCCATACCTCTAAACATTTAACAGCTTCTGTCACACACTCTACAGTTTCACTTATTTTGTCCATACCTCTAAACATTTAACAGCCTCTGTCACACACTCTACAGCATCCCTCCCTTTCTCCAGCAGATGATACACCTGATAAATAAAAATCAAGTATTAATGTGAAACAATGGACCCATGGGCCACATAAGACCAGAATGCACATCTGAACTACCATGCTCACAACATATACTGTAAAATCAATTTTTTTCATAGTGTCAATTTTCAGTGAACTGAGGAATAAATATTGGTTTGAGCTGATTATACCTCCTGGTTGGAGAAGTGCTATTTATTATGTATATGAAATTTAATTTACAGTTCATGGTGGATGTGAATTCACTGATTTCTTCATAATCACAACCACAAATGTTAAACTCCTATGAAAATAAGTTATTTCACAGTAAAATTTCCAAGCTACCATGATCCCATTGTCACATCAGAATCACACCCCTCTTTCAATACCTACTTGATAAAACAAGTATTAATAAGAGGCCTGTTGGTCACATTGCCCACCTGGGTCATGGATGTATACTGAAACGCAAAAGAAACGCAACTAGCAGTAATCTACAAATATTTGAACCTTTTAACTAATGATTTTCAAAACTGGTTACAGTTAAGTTAAACTCGATTTAAAAGCATCAAAGATTTGATAACAATGTTAAATGATTACCTTTTAACTTTAGAAAGTAACACATGACTGTTAAAACACCCCCCTTCCCGGCCATTCAATTATAGCGTGGAAGACTGTCATGCACAGCAATTGCAGCTTGATTTCCACGATGCAGTAAGTTCATCAATCTCGGGATCTGAGCGAAAAAAATATTCTTTGCCATTTTTAAATGTCCGTTTTTCAGATGATGAAGTCGAATTTTCTCTAACCTAGCGCACTGTAGTAACACTTGGACTTCCGGTCCACGGACTATCATTCATGCTAATGATACGTATGAGCCTGTTGAGGCGTGTTCTCGGGCATTTTTGCATCTGCAATTCTCCATCACCTTTATTTTCAGCTTTTCCAGCTAGAGCATTTGAAATGCGTACTTAAGTCATTTTCAGAAAGCCTTGGCATCTCTTCCGGAAACGAAAGGAGAATTTATTTTGCGAAATATTGCTGCATTACATATGATTAACAGATACAAACCCTTAAAACCCCAAATTTTTGTCAGATTTTTTGTTAAACATGCAATTTTTTATTTCTGTTCAGCGGGCTCAAACTTAACTTCCGGTTATGGCATGAAAATCATTCAACCGTTAAATTATCGATACTTACAATGTTGAAGATATCCGTACTTTTTAGATACAAAATTATATCCTTTATATAATTTTCCCCTCTAAAATAGGATGTTGCGTTTCTTTTGCGTTTCAGTATATATTACATGTAGCACCCCTGACCTGGTTTTCTGCATTATATATAACATGCAAAATAAAAGAAAGAAATATAGGACCGCTTACATACTAAATGTCCCTTTACAGACATGCATAACGTTGAGAAACCTTTTGGTAATTTAAAAACTGTCAAACCTCTTTTTGATCTCTGACAGCCCTAAAAAGTCAGTTTCTGTGTAAATCTTTATGCCGAAATAAAAGGTGATTATGGTTTACTTGCTGCATAAGACATAAAACATTAAAGGGGAAAAATAAATGAGGCCAAAGGGCCACAATGCTCACCTGAGTTACTGGGATCCTGCCTGTTCTTTAGCAGCAGAGATTTTTTCTCAATAAAACTTTGATGACATATTGTGGTCCCACTGGACCTCCAAAGTCATGATTTGAATAAAGCTGAATCTAGATACTACCTAAAGATCCTGCTATTAGAATATGACTAATCATGACTTTGCTGCTCCTGAGAAAATTTTAAAGATTTTTTTATACATTTGTATGTATTGATTGCCATTGTGGACCTATCCTACCCCTGGGGTCATGATTTGAACAAACTTGAATCTACACTACCTGAGGATGCTTCCATATAAATATGACTAATCAGGCTTTGCTGTTCTTAAGAGGAAGATTTTTTAAAGATTGTTCCTATGTATTCCTATTTAAACTTTGATTACCCATTGTGGCCCCAACCTACCCCAGGGGTCATGATTTGAACAAATATGAATCTTAACACTATATCAGGATACTTTCACATAAGTTTCATCTTTTCTGGCCCAGTGGTTCTTGAGAAGAAGATTTTTATATGACCGATTCAATTTTTACCATTTCTTCCTTACCTCCCCTTAGAAGAAGGTGTGGCCCTTCATTTGAATGAACTTGAAGCCCCTTTACCAAAAGGAAACTCTGTGCCAGGCTTAGTTGAAATTGGCCCAGTGGTTCTGGAGAAGATGATGAAATTTGTAAAATGTTTATGAAAATAACAACAAAGCAATGACAGACAACAGGCAAATTTTTATCAGAAAACTCACTTGAGCCTTTGGCCCAGGTGAGCTAAAAATCAGCAAGAGATATTTGTGAAACACTTATGCCCCACCCCATCCCCTTCCAAATAATTGGATTTTTTCTAAGTCCAAAGGGCATAACTCTGTCAAAAATTGCTAGATCGTATCCAAAACAAAACTTGTCCTAGATATTTTAAAGATAAATCTGTATACCAAATTTCATTTCATTACATGAAACCTCTGCGAAGAAAATGAAAGGCACTTGCAAATAATTGGAATTTTTCTAAGTCCAGGGGGCATAACTCTGTCAAAAATTGCTCGATCGTACTCAAAACAGAAATTGACCTAGATATTCTTATGATAAATCTGTATACCAAATTTCATTTCAGTATGTGCAACCTCTGCGAAGAAAATGAACAGAAACTGTTGGTGGACCAACAGACCAACCGACCGACAGACAGCAGAAAAGCAATATGCCCTCCCTTCTTCAAAGGGCAATAGCCCTTTTCACAAAAAGTCTTATGAATAAAATTAAAATTTTCCAATTCTTCTATATGTACCGGTACATAAATTGTTGTAGGTTATAAAAAATCTTATATTTCTAATTGTGAATTATTATTCTGAAATAATAATTTTCTTTATTAAATAAAGAAATTACAGAGTTGTGAAATTTTAATCTTAGTCATAAGAATTTTTGTAAAAAGGGCTACAAGAATGTAATCAATCAAGGATTACACAATTTGATAGTCACTGAAACAGAAGTACTAATTCTTTTGAGAAAATTAATAACATAAGTATGTACATTATAATTATTAAAAAGTATTTACCTTTAAGCATGCAGATTTACAGAGTTTCACATAAGCATCTTCTTTTTGTGTTGAATGGTATCCTGCACCTGGTATAAATAAATAAAAACATGATACAGAATTTTTATTTATGACTTTTTTTTATCCCCTTACCCAAACTGAAAAAAATAATTGAACACCATAATCATGATAATTACAAATATAGTCTAGGATTTTTTCTGTTTGCCTGATCATGTCAAGGAGCACACGGCAGATATGACCGGTGGACAGTTTATGCTTACTCCTCTTTTCCATTTGCCCAATCATGCCTTAAGGATCGAGCACATGACAGGTATGACCAGTCGACAGTTTATGCTTACTCCTCTTTTCCGTTTACCCAATCACATGACAGGTATGACTGGTCGACAGGGATGCTTCCTCCATGTCACCAGATCCCACCTCTGATGTTTTTCAGAGACCTGTCCGTGTTTGCTCTGCTCCCGAGTTGTATTGTTTCAATGGACTTTTGACCTCCAGATTACTGTTCGTTATCTCCATATTTCATTCATATATATACATGTACTACTCTAATTTCTTTGGTGTGGTAGGAGAAATAAAATACAAAATCTTGCCAATTCTTTATCTGCTCATGTAGACTGAAAGTTATTTTTATAATTAGATATTTCAGAACTGTAAATTTACATGATGGAGCTATTACTTTTCTAATGCCTTTAAATTTAAAAAATGTGATAACTTCTAAAGTCAATTCAATGTTAAAAAACTTCAGCATTTTGAATAGCAAGGTATTTAAATCCCCTTCCAAACCAGGAAGTATAAACACCTGACAGGTAGATAACACAGGTAAGTGTGTCACAAGAACAAAGTAAAGAGATAGAACTTGGGGATCAATGGAAGGACGTCCACCATTACTGAACTTCAGGTAAAAAAAACAGGACAAGAAACTTATCTGAAAACAGTTAAATTTAGTGGGTTTTAACCATGGGGAACATAATTCCTCTATTTCCTAGGTCATCTTGGATGCAAGATGGATATCTTTATCTTTTGTGTAAAATTATTCCTAGTAAGAATGCTAAATTTTTATTTTTCAGATTGATATCGAGCTTTAAAATTTAATCATGGATCCACGTACCAGTGCCCAGGACGTGATGCGATGTGACCTGTGTGAGACCGTTGTGGTACAGATGCACTGTGATACATGTCTTGTCAACCTGTGTAAGGCCTGTGTGGGAGAACACATCTCAACAGATGAATTCAAGGACCACAAGGTCGTCAAATTTCAGGCCAGGAAATCTTCCCCCCTCTACCCTGGATGTACAACTCATAGCAAGGAGCGATGTGAAATGTACTGTAATCAATGTGACATTCCTGTATGCAACTCCTGTATTGCATCTGATCAACATCTAGGTCATAAATTTTTGAAAATTCTACAAGTTTTAGATGAAAGAAGAAACAAAATTATGAAAGATGTAACTGAATTAAATGAAATAATTTATCCAACCTACCAGGACATTGCCTCTAATGTACAAAACAGAATGAGTCAGCTAGAAAAGGAATATGGAGATCTCTCAATGGCCATAACAAAACATGGAGAGGACTGGCACAGAGAAATTGACAAACTTGTCAAGAAACTTAAAGCTGAAGTTGATGAGATGAAGAACACACAGTTACAAACTCTACAGAAACATCTGGATGAAATAAACAAGAACATTTCTGACATCAAGGATGAAATCAATTCAGTTGACATGGCTTTAGACACTAATGACTTGTCAAAACTATTTAGCGTCACATCCAGTGTACATATATACAGAAATCTTCCAAACAAAATTATGCTATCTTTACCCAAATTCATGCCGGGAAAAATCCAAGGAAAAGAACTAAGAAAACTGTTCGGAGCCTTATCATCCAGTTCTCTAACATCAGATAAACATGGTTACAGCATGAAGACAACACAGAAATCACCAGAAGCTGGATCCTCTCTTCTAGTCAAACAGCTGCTTGATGAACCAGAGACTGTCACCACCATAGCCACTGGGTATGGAAGCCTTTACAATGTGGCCTGTCTGACTGATGAAGAAATCTGGACAAGAGGAAATGGCAGCACCATGAAACTCTACAGCATCAATCAGGGATCATTACTCAAGTCAATCAGAACCAAGTCAGGGAACTCACCATGTGACATAGCAGTGACAAAAAGTGGAGATCTAGTTTATACTGATTACTTAGATAGAACTGTGAACATTGTGAAGAATGAGAAGATAGAGGAGGTGATCAGACTACAGAACTGGAGACCTGAAGGTATCTGTTGTACCTCCTCTGGTGACCTCCTGGTTATCATGTACAGTGATGATAACACACAAACAAAAGTTGTCCGTTACTCTGGCTCCACAGAAAAACAAACCATTCAGTTTGATGATAAAGGTAAACCTCTCTATTCTGCCTTTGATTACAAATACATAACAGAGAACAGGAACCTGGATATCTGTGTGTCTGACTTAGGAGATGAAGCAGTAGTGGTGGTCAATCAGGCCGGGAAACTGAGATTCAGGTACACTGGACATACTCCTGCTCCAAAGAACAAACCATTTGATCCACGAGGAATTACCTCAAACAGTCAGAGTCACATCCTTACAGCTGATTATGACAATGAATGTGTCCACATCATAGACCAGGATGGACAGTTCCTCCATTACATAGACAGTGGACTGAGTGGACCCCACGGTCTGTGTACAGATACAAATGACAATCTATTTGTTGCTCAACGTGGAAAGAGACAAGTGAAGAAAATCAAATATCTAAAGTAATATGCATCACCGTGTTGTATTCTATATAATAAGTAACATATTTTTTTTTTAAAAATACATTTATATAAAGATATATACTATTATGCTGCTTATGGAGATCTGATTTTTAAATCTACAATTCATTATCACAATAAATCTGAAGGGTATTGTAAACACCATGTAAATATACATGGAATGCGAAGTGCAGCATGTCAGGAATAAAACAAAACTTTTAATTTGTTCTTTAAGTGAGTACTATGTACAGGTGTACAGGTTTATTTTCATTGCAGTCTTATATATTACTGTGGAATCATCTTAATTTGTGGGGGGTCAATGTTCGTAGGCAAGCAAAATTTTACTTGTTCATTGCAGGCCTTTATGGGACCTCTAAAATTTAGGTGCCAACTGGCTCCTATAATTAGAAAATTTTAGTCGCAAATGCAAATTTTTAGTCACCAGGCATTTTTTTCTTAGGCACCGACTTTAAAAGCTAATATTAGTCATTGTTATACCCTTATAAATATCTATATATTTATTACTAATAAAAAGTCCAACAAAAGAAATGTTCATTGCATCGATCTAACAATTTCATTGTTGACCGGCCTGCCAGTCCAACATAAGAATTGTTAGACAGCAATGTCACTGCTACGTCACATGTAATTAATCGTCGTTCAATATCGGCGACGCGGAAATAGCTGAAGTTTAGAGCTGCAAGAGTTGTTGTATGCTATATGAAAGAGTATGCTTTGTGATATAATAATTTTATTTTTAATTTTTTCATTCTCCAGTATAGATGAAGAAATAAAAATTTTAAAAAAAACTGTTCAAATTCGATGTGATACTTCTTAATTTATAAGTAATATTATATAACGTTATATTTAGTTATTCAAAAAATAAATCTGTTAATCAGAGACTCAGCTCACTCCCGATTATTAACATGACAAATGTCTCAGTTTCCTTAATTACTTTCAAAACATACATGTAATACGAATCTTTAAAAAAGTGTTTCCTAATTTACAATACTAAATTAAAAGCAATTAAATAGTCTAGATTACGTCTTTGATAGGCATTAAAATCCGAAATAAAGTCAATACTGATAGAAAGTAAATATGTTTACTATTAATTAACAAAATAAAAAAAAAAGAATAGACCTAAAATACAATATTTACAATAGGGCGAACGGGGTACATGGTGAACGAGAAATATGCCTTACTGACCTTGGGCGAACGGGACTCATGCAAACAGGTAGAAAGGGCGAACGGACCCAATACTGCAGAAGTTATAGGCTTAGTTAATGTTTCTGCGTACAAACAGTTTAACAGACAGACAGACAGACAGAAAAACTATGACCCCCGAATTTTGAATTTCAGGAGCATAACAAAGCTTGCTGCATTGAATTTTGAAATATTTGGCCTTGGAAACTTTTTTTGGCTTTACTCCTATGATTTTATTGTACAAAACAGTCTACGGGCGAAAAGGTCTCAGCGCGAACAGGGGAATCTACCACTTTGTGACTTCCTTCCATTTGACATGTGCGACAGGACCAGGAGAAGAATGCTGCATATCTAAACTTAAAAGATAAGTTATATTAAGTATTAACCAGAAGTCTCTGATGAGACTGTAGCTCTACTGGTCTGTACATATACATGTAACAAAGAAAAAGTAGCACTTGGATTTGAAACTTTGCAACATGCAGCAATAAATAGAATTATGTACTATCTTAATGTAGTCTACTTGTTTGCCAAGTTATATTGAAGGAGGAGTAGCAATTTAAAGGAATTTCACAGAAATTTCCATTTCTAGTAACCATGGCAACATCATTCATCGAAATCAAAAACCGATGCAATGAATTATGTATCTTAGTGTAGTCTACTTGTGTGCCAAGTTATATTGAAATCAGACCAAAACTGTCGGAGGAGTAATGTTTGAAAGGAATTTCACAGAAATTTCTATTTTTAGTAACCATGGCAACACCGTTCATCAAAATCAAAAACTGATGCACTAAATTATGTAACTTAATGTAGTCTACTTGTATGCCATATCATATTGAAGTCAGACCAAAACTGTGGGAGGAGTAGCATTTTAAAGGAATTTCACAGAAATTTCTATTTCTAGTAACCATGGCAACACCGTTCATCAAAATCAAAAACTGATGCACTTAATTATGTATCTTAATGTAGTCTACTTGTATGCCAAATCATATTGAAATCAGACCAAAACTGTGGGAGGAGTAGCATTTTAAAGGAATTTCACAGAAATTTCTATTTTTAGTAACCACGGCAACACCGTTCATCAAAATCAAAAACCGATGCACTAAATTATGTATTTTAGTGTAGATCTAGTCTACTTGTGTGCCAAGTAATATTGAAATCAGACCAAAACTGTAGGAGGAGTAGCGTTTTGAAAAATTGTTTACAGACAGACGGACAGCTAGACAGCTAGACGGACGGACGACGGACACCGTACTCTCGCATAAGCTCTTCTGTTCTCTGACCAGTAGAGCTAAAAAAAACAAAGTACCACAATGCACTGCCACGACAAAATGCGACATAACTGCATACCACAACTTCTTGCCTGGGGGCTCTCTTTTACGTACGATCTATCTAAACCCGGAAAAGGGTTCCCCAATGACGTATTTGTTGAATTGTGGGAAACTACGTGGCATTTCCAACTTCCAGGTTGTCTGGAAAGGGTTGTTTTTGACCTTAACAAAATTAACACGTAACCAGATTTTTGTTGGAGGTAAGGAATCAAACAACTACATGTATACAGTACATTACATAGTCTATTTAACGTCTGAGGCAAGATGAGGGTGATTGTAAATGGGAGCGCAGGGTAAATTGTCATATTTTTTGGTCAACATCAGAAACCGGTATCCCTCTTGATTCAAGTTATTGGAGAATCATATGATTTAATTTTTATCTATGTATTTAAATTAATTATATATCGATTAATTATACGGTTAAATGGATTTGTTGAATTGATTTCAATTCTTATCTCATCTAAATTCATTTGAATTTAGGTATCCAATGGCTACCTATCAGGAATTTATCCAACAAAATGAGGACAGGGATGGTGTAAGATTCAGCTGGAATGTATGGCCGTCTAGTCGTATAGAGGCCACCCGCATGGTGGTCCCTCTAGGGTGTTTGTTTACTCCACTGAAAGAGAGACCAGATCTCCCTCCGATCCAGTATGACCCCGTTCTCTGTACCAGACCAACATGTCGAGCCATTCTTAATCCTTTCTGTCAGGTTGATTACAGAGCTAAAGTCTGGGCCTGCAACTTCTGCTTCCAAAGAAACCCAGTAATTACTTTTTAATGAAGCTTTTTAAATGAATTTATTTCTTTATTACAGTGATTTATTAAAAAATAAGTATGCTTGCACACAGTCAAAAAATACAGTGTAACATACTTTACTCAGCAAAATAGAACAAATTTCATATGACTCAATATGTGTAATGTAGAATTCTTGCCTTTAATTGCAGCTTTTTGTTTGTTTCAGTTTCCTCCACAGTATGCAGCAATTTCAGATCAACATCAGCCCGCTGAGATTATTCCCCAGTTCTCTACCTTAGAATACACAATCACAGTGAGTCTATAGATTTATGTACATTATTGTGTATGACCCTTGATTGTGTAAAAATTGGTTTAAATCCAGTTTTTGTCATCATTTCAAACTCTGAAATTACTCTTCACATAAAAATTCATGAGATTAAGTTTATAAGTATGTTAGGCCAGTTATTAGATACAACATTGTTTCCATTTATAGAGAGCTACCTGCCACCCTCCAGTTTTCCTGATTGTCTTAGACACATGTATGGATGAAGAAGATTTACAGGCTGTTAAGGTTAGTTATAAAATTTCTCATTTTCATGCAGAGTATTTTCTAGTTAAAGATGAATATCAGTGAACGGATTTGAAGAAAAACTTTCAGTATTAAACAATGACGTGATGATTTGTTTTCTTTATTGATTGATGACAATCAGATTATAATTATATGAGATTGTACATCTTAGGAATCTCTACAAATGTCGTTGAGCTTGCTACCACCAAATGCCCTGATTGGTTTAATAACTTATGGGAAAATGGTCCAAGTTCATGAGCTCGGCTGTGAAGGCTGCTCCAAGAGTTATGTTTTCAGGGGAACCAAAGATTTAACAGCCAAACAAATTCAGGTATACAGGTCATTCAATTCAAATGATCATCTGAAATATTGACAGTTTAACACTGTAAGATTTTGTTTGTATTACTATGATTTTATTGTGCTTTTGTAGGAAATGTTGGGTTTACAAAAAGGTGGTGCAACACAGCAACAAAGAGGTCCACAGCAGCAGCAGCAACAACAGCAACAGTTACCCTCCAACAGGTTAATATCAATAATTGTTCTAATGGCCCTTCCTTTTTTAAAACATACTCCTAATACCACTGTGCCATAGTAAAAATTTAAATAGCCTTAAATGTATGTATTTTTGGAATTTTGTTGATGAAGTGTTGATTTATTTTCACAGATTCTTGCAGCCTGTTCACAAGTGTGATATGAATCTGACAGATTTACTAGGGGAGTTACAGAGAGATCCCTGGCCTGTATCCCAGGGAAAGAGGCCCCTCAGGTCCACAGGGGTAGCTCTGTCTATTGCTGTGGGACTCCTAGAGGTACAGAACATAAGACATCTTATGTACTTGATCATAGTGCTGTTTTTCTCACAACTAATATTTTAAGAATGATTTTTTTATTACTATCAATTTTTGAATGCTTGCATTCATGCTGTCAAATAATACACTTAGATTAGTAAATATATTGATTTGGCCAAAGTTCTTAGTCTAAATAAAGTAATATTTATGACACTTTAATTTGTAATTCAACAATTTGAAATTCATCCATGACTATTAATTTTTGTGAGGAAACATTCTATACACAATTTTAAAAAAAATAATGGCAATATTGTGAGCAAAAGAAGGAGGAAAAATTTGTAAATTGTTCTTGCATGCAAATAAAAGTTGGTTTACAGTATGTTGATATGTACTTACAGTGCACATTTCCCAACACTGGGGCACGGGTGATGCTGTTTGCTGGTGGACCCTGCACACAGGGACCTGGAATGGTGGTCGATGATGAACTGAAAAACCCAATCAGAAAACATCTGGACATCGAGAAGGACAACGTCAAGTACATGAAGAAGGCTATGAAGGTAACGTTATTGAGATAGGGCACTATAAATAATAGTACAGGAAAACATAGGAGAAGGACAGGTCTATGAAAAAGACTGTTAAGGTATTTTTACTAGAATGTGACATTTGTTTTACTGGAAAACATGATGTGATTGATTGTTAAACACTCTGCTATGTATGTAGATTGCCCAACCATCCATGCTTTCATTGTAAATGAATAAGTTTATTAAAGGTAGAACTAGATAGAGCATACAATCATCAATGTAAAATACACAATGATAAAATTTTACTTTTTTAGCACTGAAGCTAAATGTCCACCCAAAAGAAAACAATGGTCATAAATATCAAAAGCAAAGTAACATTCTCTTTCCTCTTTTTTCAGCACTATGAGATGTTGGCCAATCGGGCTGCTAAGAATGGTCATGTGGTGGATATATACGCCTGTGCTCTGGACCAGACAGGGTTACACGAAATGAAATTCTGTCCACGATACACAGGGTAAGACAGGACATCTGTTAATTGTTGTCATGCTGTGTTATCATCTTGTAAGTGAGCGGGCATCATTGATGTAATTTTGTTTCTTTCCAGAGGACACATGGTGATGGGGGACTCTTTTAACACCTCCCTTTTTAAGCAGACATTCCAGAGGGTGTTCTCCAAGGACGCCAAAGGGGAGTTCAAGATGGCATTTGGTGCAACAGTAGAGATCAAGGTAGGATGGAATTCTGTCTGTTTAAGCCAGTACTGTGAAATCACTAATTTTCATGGGGGTTTAATTTTTGTTGGTTTCATGGTATTGGAGAACCATGAATGTTCATGTATGTTCTCCACAAATGGTAAAATTTTGAATGTATAGCAATGCTGCCCTTAATCAACTAGGAAATCAAATCCCCTTGAGCCAATATTTTTTCCTCAAACCTCAAAATTCTGACCCCTCGAAAGTGTATAATTTTACAGTATACTCCTGATAAGAAAAGAATACTCCATTTGACTACATTAATTCATGTTTTAACATTAATAATTCTATTGCGGGACAAACCTTTTATCACTTTGTTGTGTATTCACAGACTTCGAGAGAACTGAAGGTGTCAGGAGCTATAGGACCATGTGTGTCTCTGGGAGTGAAGGGACCTTGTGTGTCGGACACGGAGATGGGTCTTGGGGGCACCTGTCAATGGAAAATGTGTGGACTGTATCCAAACAGTACCCTTGCTCTCTTCTTTGAAGTTGTCAGTCAGGTACCTAAAATTATTATGTCATTTACCTTTATAAATTGAATGAGAATAATTAGCTATGAAAATATACATATAATTTGCAGATCAAAGGCTTTACAAAAGTTGTAATATAAATGTTGATTATATATGTATTTGTTGATTTCCAGCACAATGCCCCAATACCACAAGGTGGTCGAGGATACCTACAGTTTATCACACAGTATCAACATTCTAGTGGTCAACGCAGGGTCAGGGTGACCACATTGGCCAGAAAGTAGGTCACAGGCCTAGCAAATTCTAGCCATACTAACTAGTCAATTAAAAGTAGAAATATTACTTCATGTACCTTCAAGCCAGAACTTTTGCTGACAATTTTTCCACATTTTATTGAGTACTGATATTAAATCTATTGAACAGTTTATAGTTTATAGTTGAATTAAAAGTAATGATTTATTAACCGCTATTTGTTTCAGTTGGGCAGATGCAAGTACAAACATCCAGCACATTGCGGCGGGCTTTGATCAGGAGGCAGCAGCTGTGCTGATGGCCAGGATGGCGGTGTTCAGGGCGGAGACAGATGACGGTCCGGATGTACTACGGTGGTTAGACAGAATGTTGATCAGGCTTGTGAGTATAAAAGAACAATGCAGGAAATAAATATAGAAAATTATTGGTAGAAAAATTTGTATTAAATAAATAAATACAATTGGGGTGGTTTTGAAAGTAACGGAGGTATTTTAATATCATTATGAAAAACATTGATATACATATACATGGTGTATCTTTTTTTTCATTCAGGGGCAAAATTATTGTGCGATAATTTGAGGGTGAATTTCCAGATTTGATAATAAATAAACTTTTGCTTTGATTTCAGTGTCAGAAGTTTGGAGACTACCATAAAGATGATCCTAACTCGTTCCGATTCTCTGATAATTTCTCCCTGTACCCACAATTTATGTTCCATTTAAGACGGTCACAGTTTTTACAAGTTTTCAACAACAGTCCTGATGAAACTTCATACTACAGGTAGGAATTGTTTTTTATCAAGATGTCAACTTAGGAATTTCAGATCTAAATTTAATGATGATTTGCATATATGTATTGAAAGTTTAAGTATTTCTCACAAAGTAAAATCTTACCCATAATTTAAATATAAAAATGTTTTCTTGAAGTCAGTCTTGCTGCACTATTTTCAAACAATTTAAAGTTAAACCTTATCCTTATAGACACATGTTGAATGTGGAGGACTTGACCCAGTCCCTGATTATGATCCAGCCTATCCTCTACGCCTACTCCTTTAACGGGACCCCCGAGCCGGTCCTCCTCGACACCAGCAGTATACAACCAGACAGGATCCTCCTCATGGACACGTTCTTCCAGATTGTATTGTACCATGGAGAGGTAAAAAAAGATATCAATGGATGATAATAGAAATTGCAGCTGGTCTATAGTGGCTAGAAATATGATTGATAAATGAAGATTAAATTAAAGTTGCAAGAGTTATAACCCATGGAATCAATAATGTGTCATTTAGGTTCAAATTGTATACAAGAAATTTTTTTGCCCCAATTTTATTTTTGCTCCTTTGACCTTTGATGTTAGTAGGCAAAATTTAAAGTGGGCAAATTCAACAGAAACAGAGTTATCTCTCTTGTAACACAACTTTTCTGTGCAGATTTAAAATGGGGCAAAATCATTTGCAAGTTTGATAGAGCAAAAATAACATAGGGTGAAAATAACCTTGTGTACACAATATACTGATACTGTTTGTCACTCTGAGGATATCTGAGGTGATTTTTTTGTTGTACAGACAATTGCTCTGTGGAGGAAACAGGGTTACCAAGACCAGCCAGAATATGAGAATTTCAAACAACTCCTAAACGCTCCGGTGGATGACGCACAGGAAATCCTACAGACGAGGTTCCCAATGCCACGATACATCGACACTGAGCATGACGGATCACAGGTAATATTTCATATTCAAATCAGAAAATGTGATATGTAGTGAAAACAATTTTTAACTATGGTTATTCCCCTTTGAATAAGTGAACTGTAATTTGAAAATATTATACTTTTGTATATATGTAATTTGTTTTAACATACAGTCTGTTTTCAGAAAGAAAGGTGCTTATTTTCAATAATTTGAAATATTAGGTGATATAATTTTTCTTTCAGTCTCGTTTCTTGCTTTCACGTGTCAATCCATCACAGACCCACAACAACGCCTATGGATGGGGTCAGGTAAATATTATTTTCATTTCCTTACATAATAAGCATGCATCAAATGTTTGACAGTGCATCTGAAATACAATCAAGTAATACATTCATTAACCATGTTTGCAATGCACATATAATTACTTTCAAAGTAATCATTCTGGTGAACATAGTACAATATCTTTTCATCTCTTATGTGCATCTTTTTCCTCTTTCTCAGCAATCCTCTGGAATGGTTTGTATAAGTTCTCTATGTCTTATAATTGTTACAAAGTAAATTCAGGAAAAGTAGTGGTGTGTTGGTAGATGAAAATTGTCTTAATGAAAGAGAGACACAGGTGTTTAGGCATAAATATCCTCTCAGCTGATTCTGAAGAAAAGTTGAATTTTGAGAACTTGACACAGATAAAAGCTGTTCCTTTTTTATAGATTATAACATCCTCTGATACCTATCAGGTATTTAACATGGGTTTCATTGGTGTAGCATGAACATGGGAAAATGCATGTGGAATATTGATATTGATGTCTGTGGCCCGGGTTTTTATTCATGTGCTTGTATATCTACATGTTTAAATAGAAGGGAGAAACACTTGAATGTAATAGCTGCAACAATTTGGATTTCCTCACTTTAGGAGTTTATCTTATAGAACCCCGAAAATTGATTCAGCAAATATAAACATACTTTATAAAATCAAGATGATTTCATTACATATGCACATCAGGATGTTTTCATTACATATGCACACTTATTTAACTGGAAATGTATGGCTTGGGAGTCAAAATAAATTTGACTTCGAAAGAGAGTTGATTTCTCAAATCTAAAAATGTAAGGGTAATACTGTGTTGGTGCATGATACTGTTTTGTGTTATTTGTAAGTACATATACACATTACATATAAACTCTCTCTCTCTCTCTCACCCGAAAAAAAACTATGTGATCGACCAAAGTAGAGCACACATATATTTCGTCTTGTTGGTGTCTGAAGTTATAAAAAGGTTCATTTGTTGAACTGTACATTATAATTTTTTCTTTATGAAACAGAATAATCAATTTTTAAGGTCTGGGTGTCAAACATTAAAAAAAATGATGTAAAAGATAAGTTTGGAAATCAAGTTCCTCTCAAGTGTACACAATTTCTAGATCCTTGTTTTGAACTTTCTTTCTCTTTCCTTTTATCCATTAAATTGCGTGTTTATTTGGGTGAAATGGTTTGAAATTTATTCTTTTGTACTGTGATGTGAGGGGACTGGTAGATATCCCTCCTCTCCCCTCCTCCCAGTATTCCAGCAGGTAATTACTACCTACATAGGTAATATTCCTGAAGTTTTAGTCTGGCCAATTTTTAGCCACAGTTTTGGTAGAAGTATATTCATTCATTTATAATTTCACTACTGGATATTTTATTGTATTTTAATTAACCAATTAATTGATTGTTCCCTAGGATGGAGGAGCAGCGGTTCTGACAGATGACGTCAGTTTACAGGTTTTCATGGAGCATCTGAAGAAATTGGCTGTGTCCAGCTCTTCGTGATAGTGACCACTGACTGTTGTTAGTGACCCACTAACACATACGGACAAAGTGACTACTTGTCACTCCAGCATTATAAAGTGCCAAGTACAATCAGACTTCATACTGAACATGAATTGTGCAATTCATTGAAGCTGTGTAGGATTTTTATGAACCTGATAGATTTTAGAACACTTTCATCTCATCCCATTTATGTGTGATTGGTGCCTGGTTTTACAGAGATGAATACATGTTTCTGTCTGTGGTTGTATGGAGATTTTATACATGAGTTGGCACTGCAAGGTGCCCTACATTGTTTGTGATATCAATGTTGTTATTATGGACATTATTTATTACATGAATTGTTGTACATGCTTAATAAATGACAATTACTTAGGAATTGAATTGATATCTTATTTTGTTATGATGGTTTCTGAAACAGTGATGGGTGAGATAATAAACCTTATCTATTTATCATCCCCATAGAAGTGTTTACACCTATGGGACAAGTAAAAGGAATATTAAATAATTTGTTGCATCATTTACTAAATCTCAAAGATAACATGCAGTGTCTGAGTTTTGTACATATAATGGTTTGGGCCATGGATATCAGCCTGGGTAGCTCAGTCAATAAAGCACCTGACTAGTGATGCAAGGATCCCAGGTTCGGTTCCTGGTCCAGCCATACATTTTATCCTTTTCCATTACATGATTTGGGGGTAGGATGGGGCCACAATATGGAATCAAAGTTTTACATTGAAATATGTAGGAAAAATCTTCCTCCCAATAACCACTAGGCCAGAAAAGCTGAAAGAGCTAGGTTCACTTTATGCATAAAATGGCCCTGTCCTTATATCAATTAATTGACTATCACCCTCTGTCCCATTTCATATATCAAAATAAAGTAGAGGCTTGGTGCTTTCATTTCCTATAACATTTTTTTTTTCTGGAGAATCCAGGTATTGGAAAACAGGCTTTAAGAAAATGCAATGTTCTTGAATTTTGCAGAAAACATGCGCATTTGACTACCTTCAGCAAAGAATTAAAATATGAGCACAGCCCACGATCCAAAAATTAAAACATGTTTTGTGATCTTCAGAAACAGATCTTTCATTATTTAATTGCATATTTTGGATCAGAGGTTGTGCTCTATATGAATTATTGAAAAAATACCTCAACTTTTGGCCATTCCTAAGGGAATTTAGAGGAAATGGGGAAAATGACGCATTTTATGACGTCATAATGCTTGGACTAGAGAGAAAATTACGTCATGTTCAATAGATACACAGTCACCAAGGGTCCAAGTTATAAATACTGCATTTTCAACCAAAACTGAGTAGTTTCGATTTTTCAGAAATTCTCAGGGCCAAAAAAGGCCCTAAGTGGCTCTTGCTCTTTATATGGAAGCTTCCTCAGGTTGTGTAGATTTTAAATTGTTCAAATTATGAGTCCCCTGGGGGTAGGACGGGGCCACAGTAAGTATTACAAGGGGAAAGATCTGGTGAAGAACAGCAGCGCCAAAGTTACTCAGGTGAGCGTTGTGGCCCATGGGCCTCTTGTTAAAAAGGTTTGCTCGTATAAACTCTGTTATGGGCCCATTCTTATCCCAGGGCGTGATTAGTGACATATTTATACAAATCTTTATTACATAGGTGTGCTTGCATATTGATCCCTAAGGTATTGTTGTTTTGAAGAAATTCAGACTAATTTTTGAAGATTTTCTTGAATACATGCACAATTCCTATGCAGAGCTTGGATCAATTTTGGCCCCATTCTAGCTTTGGGAGATTATGGGGGGATGCTTGTGTATCTATCAGATCAGATGATGTAACTTTTAATGAATTTTCCATGTAAAACCTATTTTTGCCCCACTTGAGCCCCAGTGCCTTTGTATGAAAGCCTATTAGGATCAATCTGTGGAGAAAAAAATTTTAGAAGGCGTTATTACACCTTTCAAAATGGCGTTATTATGCCTTTTCAAAAGGTGTTATTACGCCTTTTCAAAAAGGTGTTATTATGTCTTTTGAAAAGGCGTTATTCCGCCTTTCCAAAAGGCGTTTTCTGCCTTTTGAAGAACTATTGATGAGCCTTTGATAGGCCCTTGCTTTTGAAGGGGGGGGGGGGGGGGGGCAGCCTCTCAAGAAAACAAGAAAATTGACAAGCAAACAAAAAACAAACCCCTCCCCAAAAAAAAACTGCTGCCTAAACTCAAGGGGGATATTTTTATGCCCCTGGATTGAAAGAACACAGGGGCATATTGTTTTTGTCCTGTCTGTCTGTTGTCAACTTTAACCTAGCCCATAACTATTGCGCTGTCAAGGGTATGGCTTTAATATTTGACACGAGTGTTCATTATGACAAGACCTTTCCATTGGTACAGAAATTTTTTATCATGTGACCTCAACTGTGACCTTTGACCTACATTTGAAAAACTTTAACATTAGCCATAACTTTTGCACTGTAGTCTACGTCCCACTCCAGAATTGTGTTACCATCAGGGGCATAGTGTTTCACAAACACATCTTGTTCTAACTTTTCAATAAAACTTTTTTTTATAATGCAATTATTTGCCAGAGTTCAACCATACTGCAACAAAATATTCAGGGACCAAGCAGCCAATAAATGAAATTTTATATTTAAACTATAGCAAGACTATTCTCCCAAAAAGTGGGGTGGGGGAGCCCCCCCCCCCCCCAAGATTTTATAGCGCCTTTTGAAAATGCGTAATAACGCCTTTTAGAAAGGTATAATAATGCCTTTTTTCACATTATTATGCCTTTTTTCACGTTATTAAACCTTTTGGAAAGGCGTTATAATGCCTTTAAAAAATTTTCTGCATAGATTGATCCTAATAGGCTTTCATACCTTTGAATCTACATTTCCTATAAATTTTGTGGGTTTTAGTTGTTTTTTTTTTTTGTGGTTTCATAATTTTTTTTTTCAGTGACCCTATCGTATTTTAACCATTCATCAAGTACCTCCTAAATGGAACATGACCCTTTATTTGAACAAATTTGAAATCCCCTTGTCAGGAACATGCTTTATGCCAAGTTTGGTTGAAACCGAGCCACTGGTTCAGGTTAAGAATAAAAAATCAACAGAGGACAGAACTGATCAAAATTTCTACATGAATCGGAACAGCTCAATTCAGCCTTCCTTGTATGAGATAAGGTGAGAGCTGTGCTAACTGATGTCTATGGGGGTGAGGGTGAGGCAAAGACACTAAAAGAGACAGAAATGTGATGCTCAGGAGGGTTCATTCACAATGGCCAGGAAAAAACATCTGGTGGAGCACCTAAGAACTGGAATCCTGGTCAAGTGTCTCAAATAAAGTTACAAATAAAATGCTCTTTTGCCTTTTTTCCTGTAAAACAGGCTCTATCATTTAAGATGTTTTGAATATGAAAACAAGTAAAATTTGTGTTTATGATTTTATTTTGCTAGCTAAAGTCCTTGCTTCAACAATTTTACATCTTTAAAAAAATGCTTTTCAGTTGCATTTAGTTTGTTGATTAAATATGGCATTAAGTTATTAATAATAAATATAAATCACTAGATAACAATCACACAATCAACAAATACATGTATATTAGATATTCTGGAATATATGTTAAAAGTAACAACTACCTCATATACATAATGAAGTTTTTACCCAAGACGGACGACTTGAACAGTATCTACACTTAAACATACAATACAATAGCACCACTACACGGCTACTTTACAGAAGGATGTGCAAGATATTATAGAAAATCACATATTTATAAATTAAATATTTTTTCTTTAAAGAACAGGGAAGAAAAGTAGGTATGAAATGAGTTATGGTTGTTCTAGATCATGAACTGTGTGTAAATTTTTGCTACTGAACTACATTCTGGGTAATGTCCTTACTTCTTCAACAACATACTGGTAATACAGATACTCTAAATTAGGCCATTTTTTGTTAACAACAAATGCTTATGCTAATATTTCAATTAAAAAATAATAATAATGAAATATTACCGGTACATTGCAATACACAAAATTTGTTTATATTTAAACATGAATCATAATTATATCATCCATACCTTTTAGTATCTAACCCAGGATTTTAGGGCATAGAAAATGACATTCTAGTTATTTGTAGAAAAAGTTGTTGCAAGTTAATAGAAAAGATTCAACATAATAAAAAAAAAATTGGGATTAAAATGAGATACATGTACTTTCTGTTCATAAAGATGCATGTATTTCAACATAAAAATGTATACAAAATCATCTTAATCTTTATACTGTTTGAACTTGGAAATATGCAGTGTCTGAAAATGTCTTCTAATAGATATATAAATGTAAAAATTATATATATTTTGTGGCCATAACATTCAAAATTTAACATCAAAATAAGCAAACAAACAAATACTTGATACTTGTCTACATTCAAAAGCATTTGATTTTTTTTTTGGGGGGGGGGGGGGGGGGAGGGGCAGTGTGTCAATTAGGATTTCAATGATAAGAGTATTTATTCCATTTCAAATGTTACACATGTTTAAAAAAACATTGAAAAAAATTCCCATTTAGGAGTAAGACTCTGCCGAATCTCATTATAATTTTTTGTTTGTGATACATTACTGTTTCTAATGTTATTTTCACCCTTTCACACCATTTTGCCCCATTTTAACTTCACCCAAACACAGCAGAGTTAAAGAGATGATTCTGACTTCTTTGACTTTGCTAATTTTTTAATTTTAATTAGTTTTAAATTTGCCAACTTGCGATGAGGGTAAAGGGGGTGAAAATAAAATAGGGATGGAAATTTTCCTGTATACAATATCTCATCTCAACTTGAAAATATCACCTTGTAGAGTCTTAGTATCTTAATGGTCCTTTATAATTGATATTCATAGAGAATCCTCAAATACAAAGAATATCAAAAGATCTAGAAACTTTAGTAAAAATAAAACAGTAAAGATCCTGTAACTGATCACTTTTTTGTCTGTAAGTATTAATGTTTAGAAGATGCCCGAAATATTACTTTATCCATCAGACTGAGGCATGCACACACTTAGTGTAGGAAACGAATGCTCATCTTTTGCTCAACATCCACACGCTCCATTGCCTGTAAAGTTAAAGTGAATAAATTTATATCTTACAAGAAACTAATCATATTACATTATTGATAGCATCCAGGAATTTTTTCCAAGGGGGGTCCATTCCAACTCTCAAACAAATGTTGAAGTCAGAAATTTTTTTGACAAGCAAAAAAAAATTTAAAACTAAACACTACACCCAAACCTAAAAAAAAAATTTTATGGTGGGTGGGGGTCACTTACCGTTACCAATTTAGACGAGAGTTCTGAGTTTCCTAAGGTGAGGGGACCCAAGGTCATTTTTTCTCATTACATAACTCTGAAAATCCCAGGGTGGTTTTAATAACTCTGAAAATCTGAAGGGGGAGGGGGGGGTAATAACTCTGAAAATCCAGGGGTGGGGGGATGTTTTATAGATGTTCTATAGATCTGCACATGGTAAGAATATGCTGATACTTAAACAGTGTTTCAGCTTCAAGATGATTTAAACCCTAAGATTTTAATTCCTCTTACTGTAACATGTGAATACGTTGTCTTGATACTACCAGCACACATCTCAATAACCTTATCAAATCAAAGTATTACAAAGTCTCTTCAGAATCCAGCCATGGTATTGTGATTATAACCCTCATTTACATGCAATTAACAACACATGGAGACCTAATCTTGTTATGGTATTACCTGGGCACACTTATTTTTTTATTTGTACTTACTATTCTGAAGATCCAACCATGATAGATGTACTGAATTAATACACATGCAATCACATAACATCTGAGGAGCTAACCATTAGCTAACCTGTAAAATCTTATCAGATCACCTAATCATGTCAGTATACTTGTATTACCTGTACAAACTCCTCAAAAGAGATCTGATTGTCCCCGTCAATATCAGCCTCACTGATCGTCCTCTCAGCAATACTCCCCAACTATAAAACATATAAAATCAGCTAGTGTGAAAATATCCCAGTTTATGTGTCAATAAAAAGGAAGATTATAAATTATAATTGATATTCTATACCTGCTCCTCAGAAATGTTTGCTCCAACCATCATATGTAACACCGACAGCAACTCATCCTTGGAAATCTTGTCATCTCCATCAAGGTCATACATTCGGAAAGCAACTGAAATGTATCAAAATATTATACATGTGCAAGTCATCTGATGGTAAAAAATTTAAACGTATACAAACACTAATGTTTATATACTTGTAGCTTCTTAAGAAGTCCTGCAGATTTGTAGCTTACTGGTCTAAAAGAACTGGGATGGCTGAATAGAATCTGAACATTCATTGCAATTTTTTTTCAGACCAGCAACCTTCAGATCTGCTGCTTCTTACGAAGTCTCACATACACGTGTCTGATCAGATCAATGGTTTGACTCTCACTTGATTTGATGCTGCATATACGTTGATTTGCCCACTAATTCACACAAGAATAATTTGTTGTATGACCCTAACATTAGTAATTTATCGGTGTGTCAGTATTATTGAGCTGATCTTCAGCTAGTCTATGAACTTCAGAAATCTATTTCTCACTAGCAAGTAAATTTATTAGACTAACTCTTTTAAAAAAGATCTTTTCTCACTTACAAATATCATCTAACAGAGAGAATAAGCTGTTCCTCAATATTTCAATATTCTGTTCCTGAAGGTTCTATTCATAAAAGGTATTGTGTTTGCTACGCATACTACATGTTTTTTTTTTCCTTTAAACTGCAGTCACTACAATCTTAAGAATCAAATTCTTTGAATACAAACATTTCAATTTCTCCTCCCTGGTATTCAGTTTATTTTTGTTCTGGTTTGATTTCGTTGGCCTGAATCTTGCTAAAACTCTCATGAATTGTCTGAAGTTGACAGTCTCATTGTTACTGAAAACAAAAATAAACAGCAGTTATACTAAGATGTTTTGATCTTGGCTCTACAAAATTTATTTCATGAAATATTCATATAAGAACAATTGTTTCCTTTCTTTCCTCTCATTTTACTCCTTCCTACAACATGTTTACCTCTCTGTGAAAAATGCATGAACAATTCTGTCTCCAAGTGGATTTATAGCCAACTCGGGAATCCTCAGAAAATCTTCTCGACTACAAAAACAAGAAAGAAATTGTAAATATACAATGAAGCTAATACACGTTGTATTCTGTTTTCATCCTGTTACCTGTATAAATTGTGCAGATTATTTTTAGTAAACTTTGATCAAACTTACATAATTCACTCAATACTTACAAAGAGTGGAAACAATAACAAAATTTACAAATAAAAAATAATTGTCTATGTTTCCAATTTTTTTACTTTCTAATCATCGTTAAAGAGAAATACGGAATGCTAATAGAGCATCAAAATTTTCACTTCCCAAAATTCTAAAATATGGAAACTGTCAAACTTTCAAAGTGTCAAAATGACAACATTTATAGCAGTTGTTTCCACTGAAGATTCTTTATCAATAAATTACTTAAACACAAATCCATCTAATTATCTATCATGTCTATGGTAACTATACCTCAAACATCCTATGGCCCCTTTATCCAGACTTGTAAATCGACTATACAAGCGTACAATCTGATTATGTGAAACTACAAAAATAGAAAAGACAAGTATATGCTAATTTAGCTAATATATTCAGTGTTTTGAGAAAGGCCTTCATCACAAAACCTTGCAAAACTGTCGTTTTAATGTCAATATTAGTTGATAAAAATTCGTTTTGTCCGCATAAATGTCGTTTCTGTAAGCGATACACGATACTTACAACCAGTTTCTGACTGTATTTCATTTAATTCAGTTTCCTGGAGCTGGATAGATGCCCTGCTGCCCATTGTTTTGAATGTTTACGAGAAAAACAGCTGTCAAAAGTATTCAACACTGCACATTCCAGGAAGAATCGGAAGTAAGGCAGCGAGGAATATCAAAATGTCAATCCCGATAGAATGTATTAGTTTAATATTTTTGTTATCTACTAAATTTTAACATTAATTGGAATGATACAATTTATATTCCTGTATTAATTATGTTAATTAAAATAAAATACTTAAGTATGGTACGTTCTTCTTAAACAATGATTTTTTTTTTTAAGGAAAACGGTATAGACTCGGGTTCGGGATCCTGACATACAGAGGACATTCGGATGTTAGAAATGTGACATCGTCCCTTGGCCCTGAGGTGCTTGGGTATGTAACAGTTTATCAGCTGTCGTACTTCCTTGTAAGATAAGTGACGTCCTGCAATGAATAAGATGTCCACACCTACTTCAGTGCAGAAAAAAGAAAAGATTGTTCTTGCATTCAAATGAAATATTTCTTTCTTTTTTCTTTTTTTTTTAAGATTACACTACCTTGTAGACAGACACTATAGTCTACACTTTCAAGTTTGTCATATTAAGTGATAACTTCATTCATTGTCTCCTTTCATGCTTATTTAAAAAAAGACATTTTTTTTTTAATTTGGGAAAATACTTACTACTAGTACTACTTTTGAAAAGGGAAATGCCTCAATTCACTCAGTCTAGCTATACAGTAAAATTAAAGTTTTTGTTATTGACACCAACAATAGATTTGGGAAAATGTATGTCATGTGTAATCTGTACATCTATATATTTATACAGGTATGATATAGAGAAATAAAACATGTTTCTAAGACGTTCCTTCTGTCAACTGTGCAAGGAAGATTTTGTTAATCTTCTCTCTGTTGTATCTGCCGAAAGGACAGCTAGAAGAACAATTTCTGTAGATTTTCAAGGTAGACCTCAGTTCCGGGGAAAGACAGAAGCTGAAAGAGTTAAGTGGCTTAAGGACAATATTCCTAGATCACTTAGGAAAATAGACAGGTCAATCGAAGAAACTCTTTCATGTAGAAATAAACTCCTAGTGTTTCATGGTGAATATGATTACTTCTGGAAATTCGACAGTGAGGATAAATTAAATGATTGGATTGTGACAACAGACTCTGATAATAAGCAGGGCTTCAGTCGAGCATATCTGGCTCTGAGTAGAAACAAGAGGGCCCTATTTTATGGAAATTTGTGTACAGAAGTGCCAAAAGATGGAGAACAAACTAGGGCTGGTTACTGCCAACTCAGAAGTCCTGTAAGCCAGGTACAGTATTCATAATATCCACATTGTAAGTCAGGTACAGTATTTTTGTGATGTTGTCAACCAGTTACATAGTTTTAATGAAATCTTTTATCACCAACATGCTTGACATGTTACTGTAATCATGGTAATATATGATATCTAAAAGTAAAAGTTTGAAAAGGAAAAACAAACAGTTATTTCGTTAAGTGATTTTTATAATAAATTATAATAGTTTATAATACGTATTTATCCTCTATAATTGTAGACACTGCGTATGAACTATGACTGGTCAGATTTCACACATATTGTGATACGTATGAGAGGTGATGGACGTGCATATGGTCTCGGCTTACAGACAAATTATAAGAGGACCGGTGTGGTTGACTTTACGATGGGACTGACTGCCAATGACCAGTACCATTATCCCATGTTTACTCGTGGAGGTCCATACTGGCAAATTGTTAAGGTACCTCCCAATGCTTTGTCTTGCTGTGTTAAGGTACCTCCCAATGTCTTGCCATGTCTAACACAGTTCTAAAAAGTCACTCATGACTGTCTCTTTTTGAAAGATTTAAATGTACTCTAATATTTTCACTTTAAATAGCTCATTTATATTTTACAATTTATGCATATTTGTCTACCCTCAACTCCCTTTCAAGTTCATAGCAGCAAAACATTAAATGATGCAAACAGCACTTCAGCAGATTAGTATATTTTTATACCAGTCCTGTTTTTTTTAACTTTCAGATTCCATTCAGCAAGTTTTACCTAAGCCACAAGGGAACTGTACAGGATAAACAATCCCCTATGGATGTCAATGAAGTGGGATTCTTCTGTATAAATCTCATGGACAATGTTGATGGACCTTTCCACCTAGAAATAGATTATATAGCTCTCCTCAGGGATGAAAATCACAAGGAGGCTCACGCCTATGAACTGTATCAAGTAGAGGACTATGTCACTAATGTCTACTGATAAAAAAAAATGTTGTTTCTTGTGTGTGAAATTTTAACCCAATTTGTTTCTAGGGTAGACTATATTTATGGATGTGATATGTGCTGTGGCATTACTTTATAATGACTTGCATGACATTCATTAACAGTGAATTGTATTTTGAAAATTTTTTAATGAAAATCATGTTATTGAAAAAGTAAATAAAATATATAATATTCATTTCTGCAGTATTTTATATTGCACTGATGATGTACATTTTTAGTCAATTGCAAGACATTCCAACGTAATGCTTGCATATCAATAATTACTGGTTTACGCCCTGTTGTCCTTAAAAATCATATATTTATCGAGTTTCATTTGATATTTCTGTTAAAATTTGACCTCCCACTGTGGCCCCACTCTATCCCTAGGGGCCACAATTTGAATAAATTTAAATCAACCCTCGTTAAGGAAGATATTTCACAAGTTGTCTTTCTGGTGCAGTTTTTTTTAAAGCAAGTTTTATAACGAACACCATCAAATTTTCACTTTTCCTAATTTAATACAGTGTGTATCTCCTTTTTCAAGAGGTTGTGGCTCTTCTTTTAAATAAACTTGAAATGCCTTCTAAAGATGCATTTAGTTGAAATTGCTTCCGAGTTTTGGGAGAAGAAGTTGAATATGTTAAAAGTATACAGATGACATGCAACAGCTGATGTACACTTTTCACTCAGAAAAGCATATTTGCTTCATGTCAGCTAAATTAAAATGTTAGATTATTCAATTATTTACACAATTAGGATTATATCCTTAATCAACTCGTACAGATCACTAAACTTGTATGTTACAATCTACTGAGAAGACCAAAGGATTCTAATGTGGACCATTAGAATATTTTCCACCATTATACGTTGATATTCAATACAGGACAACATACAAACATTGGTAAAAACAAGAAAATCATAACATGCAACGAATGCTGGATTTATTTCCCCTTCTATGTGCTTGTATAACCACCAAATACTCTTTAGATTTTTTATTCTTTTGAGCAAATGAAAGAAGAGCAGAATCTATTCTAAAGTATATACATGTACTTGTATACTTAAATTCCTTTGCCTTGTCAGAAAAATGTTCACATCATAATACTTCACATGCATTAATCTCCAAGTATGTATTTTGTTTTGCATTTGTGGAATATTTGTGATTCTGGTGATTAAAAAAACACTACTTTATTTCTCCTATCTTCGATTTGCCAATCAAATAAAATTTCAGGAAAAGCAAGTATTTAGAGGTTTCTTTATATATAATTATATATATAAGGATATTATTGATTTACAAAAAAGAAAAAAATGAACTACTTGCCCATAACCATATGTATGGCACAAAGAAATCTCAATATATTTTAATAAAGTACATGTATATGTATCATTTTAAAGTGATTTTGATAATAAATACACAATGCAACTGTCTCATGAAAAAGGCCACACACAAATTACAAGTGGATTGCTGGAATTGATAATGCTGTCCTAAAACTAATTTTAGTACCCATGATTTAAAAGCAATACATCAAAATCTTTACTGTGAAAGATACGATAACCAAAAATGTTTAACACCACCAATAAGCCTTCTAAATGCCCTGTATGCAATAAAAACTACAAGTAGGTATGGAAGACGATAAAAATCTTTAGTTTTCTTCAGGCAGATCTGACCTAAAATGTTTATATTAAAATATTCTTAAATTCACAACAACAACAATACTGATATGTATCCAGATTGTTCATCCAACAAAATCTCTTTGTGAATCATCAAGTTGTAGCAAAAAAAGTGTTGACCTCACCAAAAAAAAATTCATTTTGTTGATTGGAACAGAGGTTGTGACCTGAATACACATAATAAAAATACACACACAACCAAAGGTATTATTGCCCCTTAATTCTATCTCAATAGACATAAAAAATATTTCTATGACACTTAATCTAAAAATCTTTCATGATACTGTAAACCAACTTTTATTCGCCTGCGAGAAATTTTTGCAAGGTTCGCGAGAGCCTCGTCATCGCGAATATTTCTCGCCGTGAACCGGTCCTTAAAGTCTCTCTTTCTATTAACAACAGATCAAAAAAAGGCTTGATCGCGAAAATTAATCGTGGCGAACAAGTTTATCCCCGGTAAATCGCCAAATAAAGTCGTCGCGAATAAAAGTTGGTTTACAGTATTACATGTACTGTGTATTAGAATAGATCAGAAAGTTATTAAATGTTACACAATAATACATGTGAAGATATACAATTATTCATCCATTCATAATCATTATATATATAAATAATTATATCTAAGTTTATGCCTGATAAATCACACAAATTTGGGGTACATTGTAATTAAACAAAATCAATATTGTATATAATAACATATAAATATCTACATAGTATACTCTGGAAGGAATCTCCGATCCGAGAATCTTAGGATTGTCAAAGAACCTGAACACACAACTGCCAGATAATGGGGAAATAAGGGGTTTATTTGTGAGGATTGCCAATACCTCTAGGTTCTTTGGGATGTAATTTTGTGGGTGAAAGTCTCTTAATAAGAAATGTCACCTATATTCAGTTTTCATTGTTATAAATCTATGGGTAAGAAATACCCACATAAATTGAAACCCCCAAGAAATATATAATACTGTAAACCATCTTTTCTTCATTCATATTAGAAATCCCTGCTTTCTAGAATTTTTTTTTTTAACTTGCAAATTAATAGTTCTTGCCACAAACCATTTATATGTGAAAATTAATAGTCACAGAGGGATTTCAAACTGAAAAAAATCACCAAAAAAATGTTGAGAATAACATTTGGTTTACAGTAATTCTATGGTACAAATGTAAGAAATGCTTTGGTCTACAAGTAAGAAACAGATATATACACGTACCAGACAGAGCTGAAAATAACATTCGATTGGCCAAAATGCTAAACTCAACATTGTACATGTATTGAAATTCACAAGCCTCCCAAAAATATCAACATCATCATCAACGTGAATTAAAATGTCATATAAGTACTTCATGCGCCCTCAAAAACATGGTTAGAGGGTTTTACAGAAGTGAGACGTGCAGGTGGATGCCTAATATACCATATAATGCAAGACAATGACTTCCATGGCAAAGTATGAGAAGATAAATAACAACTGTTATGGCAACAGTTAACATCACTTTCATACTACGGAAAAAAATTGTGACAATTTGTAGATGATAAAACATGAAAACATTTTAAAATAATTATAATCTTGCACATTAAATGAACAAAAATAAAAACAAAAAATAATCCCACCTTAAGCAGCCAACATGCAATGCTATAAATATATGCCATCAATAAATGCCATAAACCTCTGTAAACTAAAAACAATGTATCTAATTTCAAATCTTGGTCTTAAATTTACATATACCCGGTAATGTTTACACTAAAACAGGATTTCATACAGAAGTCACTGGAGGAGAATAACGAGACTGAATTATGCAATATTTCATGTTTTACATTCACACAATACAGATACATAATGTACATGTAGGTAGATGCACTGGTACCTTGCAATTACCATTGCCAGCAATAGTAAAACATAACAGTACATAATTTACCAGTACACAGAAAAAAGAGAGTTTTTGGCCTTGATTATTATGCAACAATGCTAACGATAGAAACAAAATAAATCAGTTCTCCTGTATATTTTTTCCCAGTGAATAAATAAAATCATTATCACAGTCATCTACATAACATAATAGCAGATCTGAAGAAGAGATCTAGACAATATATTATTAAAGAGATTCTACAAAAGAGTCCCATGTCAGTTTCCTCCTCACCCTGACCTTTGACCTATTTAGGAATGTATCGCCGACACATGTAGTTCTGTCCTTCTTCCTTGGCGTATCCGAATTTGGAATAAAATGGGACCATTTTGTCAAGGCACTCCAGAGACACCTTATAACAGCCCACCTTCTTACTAAGTAGTGTTAAAACATCTACCAATCTGTAAGGAAGATGGGAAGTAAATCTTTATACATATACTGCATATACACTTATAGACCGATAAATGCACAAATTAGTATCTTCAAAAGCAAAAACGATTCAAAAACTTTGGCTTAAGGGAGCTTATAATGATTTATTACATTTTCAACTGTGAAATACTGTGATTTATTTATTGAATAAAGGTGACAATCTGTCACAGTGTGAAAGGATACAAAGTGATATTCTGTCACATTGTGAAAGGATATCAATTAAAGTAAGTAAAAAATAATTTCTGGCCTGTTATGAGATAGAGATAATAACAAAACCATCTTGATAGAGACCAAAATTTCTTCCCAAATATGTTGCTAAAATCTATATTACAATGTGTTCAATCTCACATCTCACAAAGCTATGACATATCAACCGCTCAACTATGACGCCACAGCCTATGACACTGTGTTAAGAAAAGACAGAGTCAAAGGGAAAATCAAAGAAAATGTAATAAACAGAAAATTCAATGTTTTGTAGTTGGATATGGAATTTATTTCACTTGTGAGAAGAATTTTTTATACTTTCACTTGTGCTTCGCACTCATGCAATATCAAAAAATCCTATCCTACTCGTGAAATAAATTCCATATCCCAACTACAAAACATTGAATATCCTCTATTGGATATAAGGAGTAGGGTTATAACAAAATTTCATCTGTCTTTGATAGTTTGCTATAACCATGTTTTACTGTGCCAGTCAGAAATACTGGTAAGAATCTATCATTATTTCTTATCAAAACACTTTAACTGTTATAACTTACAGCTTGCCCAATTGTTTTCCTTGATATGAACTATTCACAACCACATCTTCTATTCTGCCTCTCTGCAATGTGGGAAGGAAATTATTGGTGAAATTTTCGAAATATCATAAAAAATGGTATACGAGACATAATTAAATGAATCATTCAATCATATTCATTCAAAGACCCTTTGTTTAAAGAAATATCTGACATTTTGAACTTTAAAAAAAAGCTTTTTTAAGGATATTTCTATTACATGTACGTACAGAAGCACACTGACGTATAAAGTGCATTTCCTTCACTAGAGTGGCAGATCCAACTACTTGGTGGGTGAATGTGTCCTCTACAACCACAGTATAGTACAGGTTTGGCTGGGACTTCATTAACTGGAATCGCTCTGAAATTTCATATCTATCAGACATCCATTATGCCTTACAAGTGTAAGAATTACATGTAACTATAACCTGATCCAGTGTTTTCCTTGATAATTAACTCAATTAATTTCAAGAACAGTACAAGATGTATTTCAGAACATGTGTACTTTACTTATGTGGATTACCTTCAAACTGTTCACGGGAAATATCACCAACTTTTGTAAGGTGTGTGAGGAGAGACAGGTAACCTGGAGAAATCAAACAGTGACTTGTAAATTATCATCAAACCATGGGAGGGTGAAAGAAAGAAGACAGAAACATGTAGATCAATTGATACTCAAGCAAATTCAGAGAATTGTGGTTCCCCGCTTGTGGAGTCCTCTTGATTGGAATGAATGATATATGGCATATTGTAATATTAAGTTATCTTTTGTATGTTCAACATACTAAAAATATTTCTTTTTATTTTTCAAGTACATATATAAAACTATATTTTTGGTGTATTCTGAGGACTGTGAGTATCTCCACAATAAGCCAATGAATTACATACATGTACACCTAGCTCAATAATGAAGACTTGCCTGATTTTTACACAATATTGCAAACTTTGAGGTCTAGGTCATGAGGTAAAAAATCAGAGTTTATTCAGAAAGGTCTAAATTGTCAGTTGCTAAAGCACATGAGAAAAAAAAATATGAAAGCCGGCCTGTCTCTTCTGGTACAAAAGTTAGCTAGGTTAATGTTTTATAAAAAGTAGGTCAAACTTCAAGGTCATGAGGTCAAAATCATAGTGCATTCACAGCTTATGCACATGTCAAATTAATGGTCAAGAGGTCAAAATCATAATTAAAACATTCAGAAAAGTCTTGTCACGGACTCACGGTGCAATATATGAAAGCCTCATCTTCTCTCATCTCAAAGTTTAATGGATAAAGTTAAAATGACAGCTATACAGACAGATGGACAGACAGATGAATGAGATTTAATGTACCCTCCTCCTTTAGAAAGGGGGACAAAAATAATGAGTAGTGTGGAGTAACTGCACATGGTAACTAAAATTGAGTCTAATTTAACCTTTGTCGAAGTCTGAGATACACAGGGGCCTTATTTTTAGCCCCTCCCCAGGATCTGTCAGGTTGATTTCCGGCTTGTAGCTGGCACATTTCTGATCCTCAAACTCCAGATCATGTAGGATTTGTGGATCAAATAAATGACACTCCTCAAATCCATTCTGAAATGTTGACATAAAAGACATAACCGTATAATAAACAAACCTTCATACTGTGGCCTAACAGTAAATAAATAACAATTCAGTAAAATAATACAACCTATGTTCAGGGACTTATATACTAGGTTAGTATATAGGTTCCTGTTATCTTTAAACTAGGGTGTAACTGAGACCAGAGTAAATTCGGTTCATTTGAACAAACTCATGACACGTTTCTGCCATTGACAACATTCTCTATAATTAAAACTAAGTTTTAAAAGTCTGTTAAACAGTTAATAAATAAATTAATACCGTAGACATCCTTAATATCCTGATTACACGTCACAAAGATTGTAGGCCTATCAATTTTTTTTTCCACGGAAAAAGTTTGGGTTTCCCATCCGTTCGCTACCTAGAAGTATTTGTTCCGAGTCTCTTCACACCAACTAACTTCCTGGTATGTGCAACAATTTGCAACCAATGTAGTAGGCAAAGTTAAATGTTTTGCTAAGTTCTCTCTGAAGAAAAAACATAAAATTTAAGGGATGGCCATTTAATTCTGATGCAGGGGGCAATTTTTCATACCAGTGAAGGACCGATTTTTCAATTTCCTAGCTTGATGATCATAATTAAACTGATTGTTTATTTCTCCACCACTCAGAAAAAAAGTTTGAAGAGCCAAAAAAAGCTAACAATTGTCCAAACTCCAAAACACTTTATTTCGTTGGAAAGGGGATGGATGGAAAGATTGTTTATTTTCTTGCCAGCTGCTTATTTCTTTCCACCCCCTCCCTTTTCAGAATTCTATTCCTCTTCCCTTATGCAGGAAAGCCAAGGAAGTTAAAGGGTCATTTAAAAAGTTTCATAATTATATAATAAAACAAAATAAACTGATAGAAAAAGATATGCTGAATATCCCCATATCTGGAAAAGATAGAGGAGTTTCCAGCAAGTGTATGCACAGCTAGATTCTTTCAGAGCCGAACAAATCATGAATGATGAAATTGAAAATGCCCTGAAAAATTATAATAACAAATGATACATAGCATTAAATAATCTAATATAATCTGTATTGATATAGTAAAATTTTACAATCTGCAGTTAACAGAGATACGCTGCATAAAGGGAGGTAACGCTGTATATGAATTACACATGATCAATTATCCCTTTCAATATTACATTACATTTTAAAAATAAAATACTAATACAACAAAACTTATCCATTAACTACTATAATGTCCACACATACTTTACTATTTCATAATTGTCATAATATATATATATATGAAAAAATGAAATATGATGATAACGAACAGTCCAATGAAACGATACAAATTTGGAGCAGAGCGTACAGACCTCAATATTTAGAGGTGGGATCAGGTGCCATGGAGGAGTGAGCATCCCCTGCCGACTGGTCACACCCGCCGTGTGCTCCTTGTCATGATCGAAAAAAGGGGAAAATCCGTAGACAGTTCAGACAGTTCGACCATAAAACCTGCGAAATAATGACTTCAAACGAGACTGTTGATATCCTTGTTTCATCAACTTATTTGTCAATAGCTTGCCTCGTTTTAGAAATTGTTCATACGTAGAGCATGCTCTTGCGTATCGAATCAACTGAGAGACATAAATCTCATATGCAGGTGATAAGGGTATTTTGCTACATAACGTAGAACCTACGTCGTATGACGTCATACTGAGAAAATTAGTTTAGACTGTCTTTTTTGGTGCTAGATCCATTATGACGTCATAATTAGTTTAATGTTACTTTTTCCCGTACTTTCTTCAAGAACGTCTCATGTAATGAAGTTACACAACTGTGATAATGTGAATGACATGCAACTATTTTGAAGGAAGTCAAAAATCCTAAGAAATTTAAATAGTACAATATCTTGATGAAAAGTGTCTGAGTCAAAGATCTATTAAAAATTGTGTGTAAATTTTGTAATGTCTATCATGAAATGACGTGCATTCCCTTTCATAATTATTTGTTAATTATTCATAATGGTTGGTGTATAATAATAATGTTTCCTGAAAATATTATCTTTTTAAATAAAAAAAATACATTTTTTGATAAATATTCACATTGTAAATCTGAACGTAACCCCAAAACAGTAATTTAATAATTAAATCCTGTGTAAGTGCAAAAAGGTCAACAAAAGAAGTATGGATAAATAGAGTGTTCTCATTCGTTTGCGGGGAAAGGTATATATTTTAATCACTTTTTGTAATTATTTGGGTGTGTTCTTCATCATATTAAAGATTGAAAACATTCTGACAAAGACTTTAGAAAAATATTTACAAATTTAGGTGGTAAATTGACTCAAAAAATATTGAGCACATTTGCCTATATTCGTTGAAATGTGGACTTAATCTTTTATGTCAATTGAATGAAAAAGAATTTATTCTTGAATAATATTGCTAAATTTGGTTCAGTTAATAAAGTCTATAAACGACGATGTTTGAAGAAGTATTTTAGTGATTTATTATATTCTCCTTATGACCAGTACCCCTAAAAATGGCTGAAAATATGTAGTCGCTGTGTAAAATTATCCTTCCAAGTTGCACAGACTGCACTACATTTAATAACGAAGAAACATACCATATATTTTTAACTGATTGATAAGCGAGAGCTAATTTATCATTTTGAAAAGTTTGAAAATCTTGTGACAAAGACTTTTCCGACATAGGTTCTACCATAATTGAGGGAAGTTGACGATTGAAAAGTTGAAGTCATCACGTTTTTCATAAATTGAGCATCTTCCATTCATTATAGTGTCTATATGGCTCACAGTATGTCCAGGGCATAAAACTAAATAGCGAGAAGTATTGTCTCTGTCAGTGTCAGAACTCAGATAAATATGAATACTAAGTAAATTAACCCTCTCTGGGCGAATACTGGACAAAGAATGACCAGAACATACATTGAAACAGCAACTTTTGGAGGGAAAAAATATTAAACCAATAAAATGCAATCTTACAAAATCCAAACCAATGAAAACAATAAATACATCAGACCAAAGACCATGACCTTCATAACTTACCCAAGGCAATAACAATTAAGTACAGGTATTGCCTGTTCTACTTGGGTGATCACTAAAGATTAAGAGCCATTCTCTGTAACGACTTTAACTTTTATATAGAAGCTGTGGCACGCATAGTCTCAGAATTTCTCCAAACTCTCTATGATAAAAGTCTTTGATACCGTAGACTCAAATCAGGCAGAAATTGGTTGCTACGTGACATGGTTACCATGGCAACATGTCCTAAATTTTAAAAAATGGCATTTTTCAACATGTTCAGAGTCCCACAGTTAACGTTTGCAGCAAAGCAAACAAGTGGTAATGATTGTTTCTGAAAGTTGAAGGCCTGATGTCTTAAATGCATGATAAACATGTTTGGTAAATCAACTATTACATACGTTACTATGGAAACAAAGTATTCAAAAGTAATAATTTTGCTCATTTAATTTTATAACATCATACACTAAAGAATTAAAAAAAATCATAGGTTGAAATACAAGCAAATAATAGACAAAAGATCCTTGTAACATATACCATGGAAGAAATATGATATTTCTTATAGGTTGGCAATGGTTGCCATGGTTTTAATACCAAGAAGGGATTTTAAATTTACTCTCTTAGTGATTAAATCTAATCCTATTTTTTTAAAAAGCATATTTCTATATAACTAATGATCAATTTTTAAAGATGTTCATGTGACCCTAATTCTCACATTTCAAAAAATGAAATTCAATTCTTTAAATAGAGCGTTGCTATGGAAATAAGCCGAAAAAATATGCATAAAAATCTGAAAAGTATTCTGTTTCCTTGGATACGTACCTTTATATGTAGATTCCCAAAACTTTTATGATTGGTAATTATGAACAACTAACCTGACTTTCAATTTTGACTGCCACCCAATCTCTAAATGGATGCAAAAAGCTGGCACATAGAGTTTAATATTGATATAAAATTAACAAAATCGAACATTTTCCCTTCTTGGTTACCATAGCAACAGTGTTGTATTTTTCAACAAACTTTATCAATAAATGATATTCAATTTTAGTTCTACCAGATAAGTACTATTCAAGGTGAGTCAAATAATATGTTTCTTGGTTAAAAGGTTAATAAATTCCCAAGGCAGCAAAAAAATATCACTTTAAATAACTAGTACGTTGTTTCCATGGTTACACTGCAAAGTAACAATTAATCCCAATTTTCTTATGTTGTGGGTGTTGCAAGGTCCTAAGGATGTATATGTGCCAGTCATGAATTTTATTGTTTTTCCTCAAGATAATAGCAGTAACCCAATCTTAGCAACAGATTTTGCATGGTTACACCACATTACCATGGCAACCATGAAAGTTATTCTTAGAATAATATTGCCAATACCTAAATACTTAAGGTCAAATATTTTTATTGTTTTTTCTTAGGTTGTTGATTGAGTTTGATCATGTAACACCTATCCTTAGTGAATATTTAGCGTTTTTAAGCATTTTTCAGCATTTAAAATGTATTCCAAACGTATCCATGGTTACTACTTACTTAGAGATAAATTCTAAATAGTTTCTTTATAGCATAAGTGGCAACAAGGTGTCATGTTTTTGTAAGAATGGTTTGTTTGTTTTTTCTTAGTCTTTGTTAAGGCTTAATGAAGATTCAAAGTAGCTGAAAATCTCAATTTTTTCAATTTTTCTGGCTGTTACCATGGCACCCAAGACACATAGCAACGGAATTTTATTTGATATATGTTTCTGGTGTCAAGTTGTAATAATGGGCAAAGTTTCATCAAAATCGGTGACCATGCGTGGCAAAGAAGTTTAAGTGGTTACAGAGAATCGCCAAAGCCTGTGGAATGCCTAATTTCTCTACATGTCTTTTTGATTCGTTTTATTCCTTTAAATTAGGTTTGAGTAATCGACATTTATACGTATGGTGATTGGAAATATGCAGCTTACGTCATTCCCATCTACAAAAATAAATTTGGTGATAGACAGTGAAATGGGCGGTTACAATTCGACACGGACGTCTGAGAAAACATCGGATTGAAATTCTAGTTTAAAATTCATTTTCAATCCATCTCAGCTACGCTGATTTATCCATGCAGAAGACAAATAATGTAAACGGAAATGGATGGAAATGACGCACACGGTAACAGGGCTCTAATTGGCGACTAATTTAGTCGCAATGGCGCCTAAAATTTTGATTGGCGCCTAAAATTTCTCTGTAAGTCGCCAAATTGGCGACCATTTTAAATTGACTTGGGGATCGTCAAATTACTGAACTATAAATATTTTCAACATTTCATATCTAACGAGCAGAAAAGAAGTTTAAAAGTTAGCAATGGCCATGTTTCCATATATTGACTAATATCAGATTTTTAAATTGGCGCCTAAGAAAAATTTGCCTGGCGACAAAAACTTTGCAATGGCGACTAATACTTTTGGATTAGGAGCTAGCTGGCGCTTAAATATTAGAGGTAAC